TTCGCAGTTTTGTTTGGATAACTTAAGTAGTAGCTTATAGGAAATATTGCTACGGTCTGTGGGAAATTGACTCGGTTACACACAAAGTGCAGATCATGCTGACAATACCAGGAGAACTGGGTCTGTTGAGTGCAGAGAACCACCTTAAGTTCATGGAAAACAATTGATAGGTTCAACTTCATATTTTTATACTGAATTATCCAGTTCTTTTTATCCAAAACAAGGAATGTATTAAAATGTTTATTTTAGAATATTGGCATGCATGTAAGCTGCCATGTGCAGACAGCCATAGTTAACATAATGATTATTGATAAAATAACCCCCCTGAAAAGGGTAATAATCTGAGCGTGAACACATTGTTTTTGTTTTAAAGCTTCAGCCCTCAGGACTGAACCTGAGCTCACGCAGGAAAACAATACTGGGTCTGGGCAGAGGTTTCCTAGGAACGCAGTTTGAGGAGCTGTATATTCAGAGAGCAGGGAACAACTACAGCACAGTCCTTGGGGATTTAAAGGACTCAGAAAACACTTCAGAAACAAACACACATGAGGTTCGGTTTATACGTAAATAATCCAGACTCTTTTGGGAGAGAAAGATGGTAAAAAAATGTCTGTTTTTAAGAGGAATTGCAGCTCTGGTTAGGCAATGTTAGGAAAATCCTGTTCTTTTCTCCAGTAAACAACCAGGTCGCTGGGTGTGGGCAAGAAATTAGAGTTTAGACGGACACCTAGTGGTTTAAGCTGTACATTACACCTGAAAGAAAACAAAATAGGGTAGTGACTCATGATCCATGTATACAAATTATTATTTTGTAAATGAACCGTTCTGCCCTTCATTCGTTTTTTGCAGGCTTTTTTTCTGAAATATACCAAAATTGCTTGGTTTAGATTTTTATTTTTTTCTAAAGAAAATTTGAGAACCACTCAAAGTGGTGGTTTTATTATTCTTTTTGTCGTCTTTGTTATGAAAGTTTGCATTCAATAGAATGTAGCAGTAATAGTTTATATATATATATATATATATATATATATATATATATACCCTATTTTGTTTTCTTTCAGGTGTAATGTACAACTTTATATATATATATATATATATATAATTCTATCAATATTTCCAAATCTTCAGGGTTTCTGTTGATCTCGTTAGAAGAGAAAATAGCTAACAGATAGCGACTGAAATCCTTCTGTAGCCCCATGTTTTCTAATTGGTTTTATTTTATTGTCATTTATCCTATTTCCAGAATCACACCTTTTATCAATTTTCTATTTTATACTGACATTTTCTTTTATTAAAACGATATATTAATATCTTGATTAGTAGCTTAAGATCACAATACGGTACTGAAAGAAATAAAGAAATAAAACATGTAACTGAAATGAAATAATGTTGATATTCTTTCCTGTCTATGAACAGCAATTACTAAATTATACAACTTTGCTGTGGCTTTCTATCCACTTTAAAATTGTCTGTATTATGCTCTTAATGATACTCTCAAACATATAACTGTGGTGCTGCCTGTCTTAGGCAGATTGTATGCATGAGGGGCTGCATGGCGGCCCCACTGAGACTCTGACAAGGACTAAACAAGAGAAAATGGATGGTTGTTTGTATGAGTAAACATTGCCTGTGTATGCCTGTAACATGTGACAATGTAATGTTACACTATGGTAACATACACTTTAGCTGTGTGACTCAGTAATGCTGGTAACATTACTGGCATAACCCAGCAAGTTTCCCAGACTTTAGCAACATTTTCTGTCAGCTACGATTTTATTTATCCTAACAAAGTTACCAAACAAATTGGATTGTAAAGTCAGAAATATGGAAGATTTTCTTTTTTGGTTTGTAATCAAATGAGTCATATGTGTTAACATCAAATTAAAATTACGACATATTAAATTGGCCCATTCCATCCCTCTATACAACATTTATTTTCCAAATGTTATATTTAAAAAAAAACTAAGTGCTTTTCCAATAGAAAGTTAACTCTTACCTCTGTGTATTAAATCTGTGAAGTTTTAAGGTGATCTGCATATGTTTCGATTGTTCACATTAAAAGGTATTCTAGATGTTTACCTGGTGGGTGGGGATGTTGTTCTGTTTAAAGGCTTATTCAGTCAACAAACCAGCACACACTACCAGACACATGCATTTGTGCAACATTTTTATTCTAATTAATTTTAGGGATTTTAAATTGCCTGGAAGAAAATCAAACCCAAAGATAAAAGAAGTTAGCACATTTGAAAGTCGCGGTAGCCTTAAGTCCAACAAACGGATGGAAATGACTGAGAGATAACATCTTTAACCAGGAAGTACAGGAGTTCTTACTTGTTCTGGGAGTTACATGACTGCAAGTCAAACTCGATTATGAGACAGAAAATAACTCTTTAAGGTGTGGACTAGCTTGGAAAACAATGTGAGGCGCTCTAAACTTTAGTGTGCAAAGAGAAACCAAATCTCACCAAAACATTACCTTAAACCCTAATTAGAAGTATGAATAATGATACTGATAAAAAATCTTCAATGCTTATTGAGTATAACTGTTTGCCACTGTGCTTTTTAGAAAGCAACACCTGTATGATAAGAACGATGGCTAACTATTGGAGCTAACTCTATGCTACCCACAGTCAGCTCTTTAACAGACACACTGATCATAACTAAGGTACTTTTCGACGCAATTTAATAATGGTGGAGTAGGTGTTTAGAACAACTTCTTATTCAGAATCAAGAAAACACAAACTGTATTTATTGGATGGTATTTTTAAAGACTCATAAAAATGACAGACTGAAGAAATGTAAAGACGTATCTATTTTAACTTTGTTTCTTCTATGTGTATCCTAAAAATTTGCAAAACTTTGTCCTAAAAACCCTCCCTCCATCATCTACAGCTTGTTTGTCACAGGTTAGGTTCCCCTTTCCACTTATTTAAAGGCAAAAGGATGGGTAGAATGTGGACAGTTCACATGATCATCAAAGGGAAGGAAAGTTTAGAGACACCAATCAACCATAGTCATAGTTTTGGGCTGTGGAAGGAGTACCCAGAGATAACACACATGCACTGGGAGATCATAAATCTCTGGAATTAAACAACATTAACATTCTGCATGGAGTTTGCATGTCCTCTCTGCATGTGTGGGTTCTCTCCAGGTACTCCAGCTTCTTCCACCAGTGCAAAAACATGCCTGTCGGGTTAATTGGCTTCTCTATATTGTCTGTGTGTGCATGAGTGTGTGTCTCTGTGTTGCTCTGCAACAGACAGGCATCGACCCTACCGCGAGAAGCAAGATGAGATGGATAACACTGTAAATAATGTGGATAATGATTAACTTTAAATTAAGAGTGTTTCACTTAGTTATGTGATCATTAAAAATTCCATCAATTAAACTGTCAGATCCATCCATCCATCCATCCATCCATCCATCCATCCATCCATCTTTTCCCCCTTTTCTGTCAGAGTCGCGGTGGGGCCGGTGCTTATCTCTGGCAGTCTATAGACAAAAGGTGGGGTACACCAAGGTCAGGTCGCTAGTCTGTCCCAGGGCAACACAGAGACGCCCAAAGACATAACAATGCACACACACACACACACACACACTCACACTAAGGACAATTTAGAGATGTCATTTAACCTAACAGGTCATGTTTTGGACTAAGGGAGGATATAAGACTACACAGAGAACCCCTGCATGCACAGGGATAACATGCAAACTCTATGCAGAGAGACCTCAGGCTGGCAATCTAACCTAGAACCTTCTTGCTGCAAGGCAACAGTGCTACAAACTGCACCACTGTGCAGCCTGATTACATCATGAACTGTAAAATTCACACACATTTTATTTATATATTTAAGTCTTCCTTTTACTTAGGCTAACTGTTTCTTATTTATGTGTTGCAGCACATAGTAAATGTATGTATTTTTGTTTTGTAAGCATTTCCCATCTAAAACTGGTTGCAGAGAGAGAACAATAATGTTCAGTTCAGTTAACACTATGTATGTGTTTGTACCTGTCTGCTCTCCTTTGTATACTTATTGGAACGCCTGAATTTCCCAACTTCGGGATGGTTTTCTATTATGTTGTATGAGCAGATGCACGGTGTGATGACTGGCTGTCAAATGAATAAATATAATAAACGCTGAAATATTAATATTCTATATTAATATGCAATTTATGAATAAATAAATCCAGTTACACATTTCATTATTTAATTTTTTCATTAACCAATAGAAATACATTTCCATTTATTATTAATTAGACCCAAATTGAACACAGATTTATTCAATCTACCACATTGTACATCTCTTTTTTTTAGTTTTTATTACAGTGTCCTGTCTGGCGATGTCGCTGCAAGAATAATTGTCTTGATGCCAAAAAGAGCCCAACAGATTTTACTTTCACAAGTGGAGCAATATGGCTATCGCCATAGCGTTCCGCTTAATTAATACATATAAATAGCTTTATCATAATTCATGTAGGGAGAATTACAGATTTTATGGACACTGCAATGTAAGTAGAGCAGGAAAGGAAAACGGAAAAAAAGAGAAAACATGAAAGAAAGAGGAGATAAAAGGGAGACAATGATAACACACCTTCAGTTGTACATTTGTTTTAACAATGAATAAAGGTTTGATTTGCTACCTAATTTTTAAAACTTCCTGTATAACTTTTTGTCCAGATACTTTTCAGAACAGTAGATGCTTAGAGAAATGAGCAACATTGTTCCTGCATTGCTCACATCTTATGAAAAAAAAAAAAAAAAAAAATCAAAAACCATACAAATGCTTTTTGTTATAATTTAAGATTTAAGCAAATAATTGGGTTTTATATAAGTCAAAAATATGTTGATCCTATTCCAAATATAATCGGCTTTTCTTTTTTTTTCTTTTTTTTTACTTCATATTAGTTGATAAGGTGCGTGGGGGAAATTTGGTGCGCTGTTGACGTCACTGCCCAGGATGAACTCACCTGTTTCGGGGTGTGGCCTCATAGCAGCTCGGTATCAGCCATAAGAGCTCTAAATGCTGGGAGAGGGACTATCTGTTTGTTAGTGTAGGGTGAAGGTGGAAATATAGGTCAATGGTTCGTTTGTTTTTCAGCACATTTTGTAGATTCGCTGAAGTTTGACGCACTTTGGAGCTGAAGGATTATTTGTTTGTTTGTCTGTTTTTTTTTTTTTTTTTTGCTTGTTTTTTTTTTTACCACCATGCGGATATTAATTCCCTTATCCTTGCTATTATCACTTCTAAAAGGTAAATATTACCGCTTTGCTTTCTGTCCCAATGCTATTTGGGAACATTTACTCTTATAAATGCATTGTTTAATTGATTTGATTCGAGTTAAACTAAGCCAAATTAAGAGTATCGGTCATGTGACAGTGTTTGATAACTAAAAAACAAACACGTTGAATCGTTTAACCGGGAGAAGAACAGATATTTACACTGTATTTTTTTTTTATCTCAATAAATATGTTACGTTTTCACTGTTTAAGTTATTAATTCTTATCTGGCTTCCTTGTTGCCTTCCAAGGAAAAACTTCAAAAGGTGAAATGGTAAATAAAAAAACAAATAAGTAAATAAATGTTTACAAGTGACTACTTCTTATCTTCATTTAATTTTAATTGATTTAACTGTAAGTCTGAAGAGTTTTTATTTCACCTTTTTTGAATGAAGGCTTGCAGTTTCACTGAGAGTCATTTCCTGTGCCTTTGTCTGAGCTACCTGTCTTTCTGGTTGAACCAGTCTCAGATCGACTCCCTGCTTCAGAGAGGCCCTCACACACATTGTTTCAGTCCAGTCCTCTAAACCTGCTTAATCTCTCACTCTGTTTTGATCTGTTTCTCCACAGAGTCTGTTTGCATCACAGTGACTGTACCAGAGACCAAGAGGACCACAGCTCTGTTTGGCTCAGTGACCCTTCGCTGTGATTACTCCACCTCTGCAAACCTCCAGGAGGTTCTGGTCACATGGAGGTTCAAGACCTTCTGCAAGGATCCAGTGCTGGAGTACTACTCCACAGGTAAAGCTGATGTCATTCAGGTTATAGAGAGAGGCTGCTGTATTAGTTGCAGGGGTTTCAACAGGAGTTGCTCTACTGCCAGTTGGTATCTGTTATCTACAGCCATCGGGATCAGTTTATGTATTTCGCCTCTGTTTGAGTTTACTTTTAGAAAAACTACTGGGGATCATGACCCCTGATTACACCAGGAAAACTCTGAGTGGTGAAAGGTATTGATCTAGTCACAGACCCCTATTTCCGTACAGTAAGCTATGAATAGATGATAATGAATTGTTTTAAACTCTCCTTGAGGGGGTAAAAATGGAGATGTCTAGCAATCAGATTATCCTCTGGTTTATGTTTTAAACTGAAAGAGCTGAGGGCAAAATAAGAAAAAAGAGGAAGTGACTAAACAGCTGGTAACTTCAGATGAAACAAATCAGGTGAACCAGGCTTTATTTGCTGAGAAAAAGATTAAAATCTGTGTCTACTCAGCAATATTATGAAGTAAAATGTAAAAGTGTAACAACTTTTCTATCAATAGGACTGCTGTTTTATCCTGCCTACTGGTTTAAACATCTAGTGTGTTTCTAAAGATGTCTTTTTTTTTATGTGTTGGACCGAAGCAACACTAAGCAAATAACTTTGCCATTACAAATATGCAGGAAGGTGCATGCTTTCATGGGCAATTAAGCTTTTCATATTTCTCACATTGTGGTCTGTTTGTAAATGAATATAATGTAGGTTATAGAAAAATATTACTATTTATCTTGTTGGTTATTTAGAACAGAATAAAAAATCCCTTTATTGCCCGACAATGGGGAAATTCTGGTGCTTACAGCAGCAAAAAGATGGTCACACAAATGTAGGCCTTAGAAAAATGTATAAGATAGCCATGGTAATATTTAAATTGGTTTAAACAGAAAGTTGGTCATAGCATCACTACAAACACTGGTTGTTTAAAATCCATAATACTTGGATGAAGTTATGAAGTTTTCCAGTGATGCCACCTGTGGTCAAAAACAGCGCTCTTCTGCCTTCTGCTCGTTCTCATAGTTAGCTCCCGTACTTGACAAGTTCTTTTTTTTTTTACTTTTTTAAATTGGTATCTGAGTCGAGATGGTTGCAAGTCGTTTCTGAGTATCCTCAAAATCCATCTTGAATATCATGCTTGACATCTCATCTGTTCATAGGCTACTGGCTTATAGATGCATTAGCGCTAATCTACTGAGATGTCAGTCTGCTCATCTGACAATGTCTTTGCCACAAAAAGTAAAAATAAAAGGCTATTTTAAAAATATCTTTCACTAAAAACTACAAAATGTCTATTTAAATTGGGGTCCAACATTGAAAATGATTAGGGACCTCTGAGCACCATTAGAGAAATAATAAAGTAATGATCTAAACCTTTTAGATGTTGTTTTTTACAGCTTACCAGTCTGCGCTGCAGCTGGGACAGGACCCGGCAAATGATTGTCCAGACAGTCAGCGGACGGTGCGGACTGTAATCCAGAAGAGAGGGAGCAGTGAGCCGACCCTGGGATCTGAATATCGGGAGCGAAAGATCACCATCCAAAATAGTGCGTACATGCAAGTATAGATACAATGTTAGGCTATTTAAAGTAAGAGCCACGTTATTGTTTCACTATTTTAACACCTGGCATCAGCTTGTGAATGTCATCCTGGGATGTTTGTTGAGGAATTGTTAAAAACTAAAATTGCTGTGAAGTAATGAAGCAAGTTTTTGGCTAAACTTTCTTTAGCAATATATTTTAAATAACTTTTAAAGGCCAAATTGATAAAATGTTCTATCGAAATGTACCATACTGATGCATTTAGAAAAACTTTGACATATGTTTACATTTGTGTTTGCACAGAGGCAGACTTGGTGATAAATGAGGTGATGTGGTGGGACAATGGTATGTACTTCTGTGCTGTCGATGCTCCTGGAGACACCACTGGTGACTCTGACAAAGAAATCCAGCTCGTCGTCTACCGTAAGAAACAGCAAATATAATTTTCTCTCCTAGGATGTTCCCCTCTGTAGCACAGTTCATCTAAACACCAGTGCTCCTTTTCTTCCTCTCTCCTAGATTGGCTGGTGGTGCTGTTTATCGTCATAGGTGCCCTCCTCCTGCTCATGCTCATCTGCATTTGCTGCTGCCAGTGCTGCCCACAGGTTTGCTGCTGTTATGTCCGCTGCCCCTGCTGTCCACAGAAATGCTGCTGTCCTGAAAAAGGTAGAGATATGTGACGCTGTAACAATCATTTGCTCTTCTATTTTTAAAAGACAACATGCTAAATCTGCTGTGTATATTTCTTTATTCTTTTTGAACATTTTAGGTAATATGTTTGTAAGGCTGTTTATTTCCCCCTATCTTAAGCTCTAACTGTTAATAAATTGTACCTTTCAGCTGTCATGCAGCATCGCATGATGAAGCAGGTCCAGAATGGATGGATGGGTGGACAGCCAATATATGGACCAATGAGCCACGCCCCCTCACATATGAATCCAGCCCTCTATGCAGGTACACCTGCCTCTCAAGCTATGAGCTTTTGATAATTGTAACACATGAATACTGCTTTTCTACAGTCTACCTTCTGTTTTTCCTTGCAAACATGCCTAAAAACGGCACCATTTTAACATCTGCTGCGTTAAGATCGAAGTTTCTGATCTGTGTTGGAATGAACATTAGTTTAATCGATTGTTACTGCACAGTCAGGTATCAGCTATCGGTATCAGGGCCAAAAAATGTCATCAGCGCATTACTAGTGTCAATTCACAACATTTCATCTTAAGGCACTTTACAGAGATAATTCAACCAGATCAGACATTCACAATTTTTATTGGCTAAATCACTAGTCCAGCAGTGTGCAACCTTTAAAATCCTAAGAGCCATTTTGCCCCAAATCAAGCTAAAAAAAAAAAGAGGTGTTTGGAGTTGCAAATATTACATGAAACACAATTATTTTTTTTAAAATATCTGTTATAGGAAAGCTGTTGTCGTTTTAAACAACCAACAATTTAATTGTACTTTAAGGCTTTAAAACAACATTAAAACGCTTCATAAAAAGTAAGCTGGGATTAGTAGGATTTTATTTGATTTGTTAAAAACAGAAAAATGAAGAGCATTGGCAAGATTATAGACCTAAAAACATATTTCTGGTACGTTTGATGTCATTCTATTGTAAGACTTATTTAAAGAAAAACATTTTTAGAAAAACATTTTTCTTTAAAAAACCTGCTAAAGTTTCTAAATTTGGTATTTGTTATTGAACTGTATTTCAAACCATTAGCTGGCTTATTTATCATTGTTATCCACTAATTGAAGTAATAATAGAGGCTCCAAAGAGCAACTCATGCCTCCAGACCCACCTTGCAGATCTCTGCACTAGCCTCATAGCCCCTTATATTATTCCAGTTTTAGTGTTTAACCCAAATTGTTTGACTCTATACAGAAGACAAAAATAAAATCAAGGTAATGGATTAAAATATTTACATCGGTTTGGTCCAATATTATGTCTTTTCAGCATTTTCCTTCACCTTTTTCAAGTAACCATGCACTACCGAAACAAACTCAAATGCTTGAATATATTCCAGAACATGTTGACATGTTTAGATGTATTCTGGGAATTAACTATTCATTAATTTTAGTCGAGTTGAACACAGGGAAACATCTGAAACACTTGTGGCATGTCAGCTGCCACCTGACTGTGGAGACTGTCAATCAGTCTGCAGATTTCCATATAAACATATTCTTAGTAGCTGAATACATGCTTTGGCACAACAAAGATGCGGTGCATCTTTTTAAATACATATTCCTATAGCTGGGACTGAGCTTGGTGGAAGCAGAAAGGGCTGATGATAGTTAAATGTTCAGCACAGAAGGTCGTGGAATTTCTCATTTTTCTTCTACAGATGTTTGAATTTTACTTGACTGTTCTGTGTTTGTGATAACTGCCTGTCTAGGATCCGTCTCTGGGAAGAGCATCCCATTAAAGCCGATGCCCCTCCCTCCTCCTCAGTCTACGTCTTACAGCATGCCGCCTCCCAGTGCTCAAAGCAACCACAACTCTACCAATACCAATCATATGCTTGACTACCTGGAGCGGCAGGTGCGGGGAATGGATGTCACCAGTCCTCTTCTACAGGTATGTTTCCCACTTTAACGTTTAAACTGGGAAGAACTCAGACATCCAGAAAGTTGAGATGTGAACTGTTTTACACTATTCCTTTGAAATTTTATTTAAAAACCTTCTTTTGCATCTATTTTCTTTTTATTTAGAAGCTACTATGATAAATGAAAACAAGACATTTTGATTAAATTATTATCTCTATATTTTTTTAAGCCAGTAAAATATAATTTGTTTATTAACTCACACTGAAATTCAATGCATAAAAGCAGACTAGCCTTTTCTGTAAATATAAATGATGATCTAATGCTCTCTAAATTATAACTTGAATCGATATGGTGTTTACTTTAAAAACATAAATTTTGGGGTATTATTTGCCCCATTCATCACCCCTAATATGATCTAATGAAATCACTAGCTCTGTGCCTGATGTTTTACAGCTAGACCTTTTCCTCATGTCCTCATGTTTTCAGTTGTCCCTCAGTAAAATGACCGTTATCATTCTTAACATCTTCACATGGCTTTGTTAAATTAAGAATGAACAGCTATTTAAATAAAAACTTCCCTTTTGGAAGCAATCGCCTTGCAATGTGGTGTGGTTAATGGATTTGAGTACCTCTATGAGAGGGAGACTATATTTTTCAGGTATTTAGCCACCAGTAAGATGGGGATTGTATGTTTTTTTTTTTTTTTTTTAGTTGTTTTGTTTATTTATTTTTTTAATCATCTAACTTGTATGAAATTACCTTATATGGTATTATCTGTGAGCTTTGCTGCAGGTACAAAAAGCAAGCATAGTTTATGTCTAAGGTGTAGCACCCTCAAGGAATACCATGGCACAAGGTTAAGAGGAAGACAGGGTTTTTTCTTGCTCTTTACAACCTGTTGGAACTGGTCACAAAAGAAAATACAAATGAACACGAATAAAAACACATATAATCTAGGTATTGACAAATAATGTATATAAAACTGACAAAAAAGAGACGAACCTTGTTAGCTGACATCCACGAGCGGCTAAAAACTCTCCTGGCGTCTAAGGTTATCCTCCCCTTCCTTCAGACTAACAAATTTAGCATATTTTATGCGTCTTCTTTACTCTGCATTCTCAGTAATATAGCAAAGTGCTGTCTGTAGGCGTGTGAATAATTGGTGCTGTGGAACCTTATTGCTATAATAAATAGTTCAGACCATAATAACCACTAGATGGTGCAAAAGTGAATGTGGAGGAGTAAATAACAGAAATAACATGGGAGCCTGCTACATAAGGTATTAATTTTGTAATGAATCCCAGAACAACCTATGCTTGGATTAAAGGTGTTGGTCACAGTCTTCGTTATTGTTGTGCATAACAGAAGGCGTTTTTAGAAATTAAACTTGACACATCTGATTCTTTTTTCCTGTCAGTCCACGCCACCGACCCACATGCAGCAGATGCCACCTCCTCCCCAGCACATGCCTGTCAACGTCCCATATTCTCCCGGGCCTCCCAGTATGATATCTGCTCTCGATGATAGACCAGTGGATCGCCGTGTCATTACACTTCCACCAATCAGGGAGAAGCAGACAGGAAGAGTTCCACCCCCAGCACCCAAATCCCGCCCTCCAAGCTCAAGTGAGAGCAGCCGCAGCGGGTTTGGTCGCCCTTATGACCGCGGGGCATCTGGCGGGAGGCGCCACCCCTCACCAGCCAGATCTAGAGGGATTCCCCGGAGCTACAGCGAAGAATCTCTAGACGGGAGAGGCCGTACCAGATCAAGGGCAGACATGGACCGCCCTCGCTCCCGTTCCAGAGATGATTTGTTTGACAGCAGGTCCAGGGGAAACTACTCCCCTCCAGCAACCAGACGATCCAGAGGATCTTGGAGCTCTGATGATGAAGGCAGCAGCAGGAGAGGAGCATCAGGGGGCAGAAGAGGAGCGGGCTGGTCTGAAAGACCTCCTAAGTACACAGAGTATGAGCCAGGACAGAAACCAGGACAACGGAGGAATGATCCCTACTCTGTAAGAAACCCGTTGTTTAAATTGACACAGAAATGATCACCATAGCAATGATAACATGTTATCCCCGTCACTGTAGATCTAAAGCTGTGCTTTCTTCTTCACAGGACAAAAGTTCCCGTAGCGGCACCAGCATTGTCATTTGAGCTGTTCTGCATGGAAACATTTTATAACCTCCAGGAAAATGTGCACAATCCAACGAAAACTCATTCAACTTGTTGTTCATCTATGGTTAAACTTTTAATAAGAACAATGAACGATGCACCTTTTTTTTTTTTTTTCATCATTGCCTAAATTGATTTTAAAAAAAGCCTACAAATGGAAACCTTTTTGAAAGACTTTGAAATGAAGGCCTGTATATTGTGGAAAACTTCATTTTTTTTTTTGTTTTTACTCCCCTCTGCTGGTGTGTTTGTATATAGAAAATATCCTAAATGGAAGTTGAAGTTACAGCTTGTCAGAGTACTGTCATGATGACCTCAGGTTAGAGATTTGTTGTGTAGCAGTAGAGATAATCCCAAAATGTAAATAAAATGTCATGCAGCCATAATCGGAGCCAGTAAACTAACCACAGCTGTTACATTAAATCTATTGGAACCCTTAAAAATATGAAAGATATGCATGCTTTTATCATGTTGTTTATAAGCTTATTTCGCATCTCCTGGATGTCTTGAAGTAACTGCGATTACTGGTTGTGAAATACTGTGGGTACCGGAAGAAGCAGTTGGGATTTCTTTAAAAATGTCTCTGAACCTTTATGCAGGCAATAAATTGCATATTTGCACTTAGTGCTCTCTTAAAAAAAGAAAGAAAAAAAAAACATTTTTAAACATTGTGTGCAAGTAAGTGATATTTTATAGTCAACACATTCTGAAGACGGTTTCTACTTTGATTCCTCTTTTAAGACTCTGTACAGTTGGTTTGAATATATTGATAATAAACTTTGTACCTTTAAGTATTGCTGTTGTCATTCTCTTTAAGTCTTCCTTAAAGTTTTTGTCCCACACTGTGATGATCTGAAAGTAGAAAGTGTATTTACATTGAAACACATGATACATGTAAATTGTTTTCAATACTCAAACTTGGGGAGAGTGTTGGCCTGGTGGTTAGAGCAGTGTGCTTGTGCACTGAGAAGGTTGCACGTACCTCATTCGATCCCCACAGCCTGCACACTGGGTCCCTGAGCAAGACCTTTAACCCCACACTGCTCCCCGGTTGCCACACAATGGCAGCCCACAGGGGGATGGATTAAATGCAGAGGTAAATTTTTCCAGTGTGAGATCAATGAAGTTTAATGATTAGCAATTATTATATGCCTGCAACAAATACATAAATGTGCATCTTACACAAAATTGTTCTTCCTCTCTGAACACCAGAAGCTCCTACATGCAATTCAATCAAACTAAGCTCTTTAAGTTTAGGACTTCTTTACTGTTAAATCATCTGAATTTTAGAATCACCGACTGAGTAAATATCAGGAAAAACTAAAAGAAGGAAAAGTGAGACATGAAATATAAAATATGAGTTTAAGATTGCCTGAACTCTCATTTAATATATTGATAAAATCTTGCTATTTTTTACTTCTATATATTCATAAGTTAATCAGTAATAGATTTTGTGCAATCCTATCTTCTCTTTTGTTATTTTTATTGGTATTGTGCAATGTGTGTTACTGCATTATTGACCTCAGTGTTTCGGTTAACGGTGGAATTACTCTTCTTTTTTTCTTTTACCACGATTGTTTTCCATCACTTTTTCATTCATGTGTCCTGTCTGAGCATCAGAGTGAGGGCCATTTTTCTGATTTTACCATCACATCGATGACCAGTTGTTATAAAAGGACATTTTGCTGGTCCTCAAATGCATTTTGCCAACAGTTAGGTTTATGGTTAATTGGATTTAGTTTAGGGTTCGGGTGAGGTATGAACTGGTAATGGTTATTTTAGGGTTAGGGCATAGAAAAGGTAAAAAATGACCAAAAATCAATGGAAGTCACTGGGAGTCAGCAAATGGTCCTCACTGCATATAGTCAGATGAGAATGTGTGTATGGCTGTGTTTTTGTTACCTGGTGGGGACAATTTCCCAGAAATATGCTACATTTTTGGGACTTACAGGTACTTAAGTGGAACAATGACTGGTCCCCACAACCGTTTAGGTTAGCTTTGGGGTTAGGCATGTGTTTTTAGGGGTTAGGCTTATGGTAAGTGTCTGGGTTAGGTCATAGAAATTAGTGGAAGTAAATGGAAAGTCCCCACAAGGAAAGTGTGACACAATGTGTTTGTGTTTTTATGGAAGGGGGCTTTAACTCCTAATGTTCCTGAACTCTGTTAACCAGTACCATATTGCGTCAATACATCATAAACCAGCGCTGTTTGTGCTTTTGTTTGATCTCCAGTGGTTCATAACTCATATCTTTCAAACTGTGACTGAACTGCGACTGTGCAGATGCAGGATGCAGCCTTCTGGAGTAGCGATGCGTCAGCTGTCACTGAGCCAGTTCAATGTACCCACTCATTTACATGAACTACTTTTAAACCTCTTTCTTTCTCTAATGTTATTTTTTTCTATATTAAGAGTCAGTTTTTTACAGTTAAGTATTTTGGGTATACTATATAAAATACACTTTGGCTCCTGCAGAATAGGTTATTTCATTGAAGCTATGTTCTATTTACCTCTAAGTCTCAAATTAGACCTGTGAATGATGTGATGTGACACAGAACTTTCTCTATGTAGTAGATAGTTAGAAAAGGAAAAAAATGTTTATAGCATTCCATGTTAATAACATTGTAGTGATATATTTTATCTCCTCAGCACAGTTTTGATCACTGCAGTTTAATTGCCAAAAGTTTCCCTCTTGCTCAAGCACCAGTCTTTTCTGACTAATGTAAGCCAGAATGAATTATTCTTATGTTAAATCATCTGTTTGGACAAATTTACGGGATCTATGGGATCATCTGATAATTTAAAATTCTTCATGCTCAATAAGTGTCCTCTTATTTTGTATGGTTGGACTTGCAGCTGAAGGCATGTGGAGGTAAGCTACAGGTAAACATGAATCAAATCATTATCTAACCTAACCTCTATAAGGTTAATTCATATTATAAAACTAATTGTAACTTCTGACATTAGAAATGGGGCTTATGACATTAGACTTTGACATAGGACATAATTCAATGTTTCTACTGCATTATGCATGATATTTATTTGTCCAATGCACTGAAAGTTTTCACATCAATGCCCTTAGCACCATTATTCAAACTTGTTTCTTTTTTTCTCCTACATTTTGTACTTTCTGATCACTGCTGCCCTTATTATTGGTAAATGTTTATCTACCCCAACTGCAATATCATTACACTGTTGTAAGCTGTATACAACAAAATTTCTTTTTGTATATATTCTGTGCATACAAAATGACAATAAGGTTTTGTCTAAGTCTAAGAAAAGCACTTTTGACTCTTTGTATTTTGTGTGTAGAGTTGATATTAGCTGTCGGGTAATATATTAGAGCCACTGTTTTGCCTTGTTTGTTAAAAACTGAGATCGGCTTGCAAACACTACAATGGATGTTGCACTGATCTGATCGCAATTTGACTGTATTTACAGAATCTACAGAAAATTTGAACTGATATCTTAAAATGCTTCATCCTCAAGACTTAGACTTAGACAGATTTATTTGTCATTTTGTATACACCAGTTGAAAAAAAAAATAAATTTGTTAAGAACAGCTCTATAAACCAGGCATCACCAACCTGGGTCCTCGAGGCCCGCTGTCCTGCAGGTTTTAGAGGTTTCCTTGCTCCAGCACAGCTGATTTTAATTGAAAGCTGATTAACAGGCTTTTGGCCTTCTGCAATCTTATAATATATAATCAGCTGTGCTAAAGCAGGGAAACCCCTAAAACCAGCAGGACAGCGAGCCTCGAGAACCTAGGTTGGAGATGTCTCCTCTAGACAATTTAATTTTTTTTAAGCGCAGCCTTGATAAACAGAAATATATATATATATATATATATATATATATATATATATATATATAAACATGTGACTGTATATTTACAGTTCTAACATTTTAGTTGTTTTTTTTCCTCTTCTTTTTAGACCTCAATAAGACCTTATAATGGTCCTCTGATTTTGGATGGTTGGACTTGCAACTGAAGGAAGTCATTATAACCTCACCTCTCCAGGGTTCATTATATCAGAAAATATGAGTTCAGCCAAATGATTCGGATCCCTAAAAAGAGCTGGCCATCGCTGTCATTTTACAACGGGCTGCTCTCTGCAGTCGCGTTTGGATGACGACACGAGCAAAGGAGGTGCTGGTTTGCCACGTCGGTCTCTGTGCAGCGCACTTACACTGTTGCTCCTCCAGCCCTGTACCAACTTTCAGACCCGTTTTATGTTTACAGGCGAGGAAAAAGCGACCCTCCAACGTCGCCATTACCGTCCTAAGTCGTTAGCTCGCCCGCATAGCGTTGGACACCGAAGCTAGAAGGTGGAGAAATGCCCGTCGCTGCATGGATTCGCCGCACAACTGACTGATGCATCCTCGCTCGGATCAGTTCAGCCCCCCCGCATGTTGTCGATGTTGTGTGAGTAGATTCCGCTTTGAAACTCAAACTAAAACCGCCCCGGATACGCATTTTATTCTGTTGTGTTGTTTCATTGCTAAGCGAGCTTCCTAAACTGTTCTCGCAAGTTTTCTTGGGGCGAACAAAGGCGACACCGCAGCCTTATGCTATGATTCAAGCAGCTCCAGTGCATGTCTTAGCAAGTCAGTGGCCATGAAACACCACGGAGGGGGGGAAAAGTCCAACAAGTTCATCTGCTCAGCTCTACTTTATCCCCAAAAAGCCATTTAAACTCCCAAAGAGGCCCATTCCTTGCAGTTAATGCCTGTATACAACAGTTCCTGTTTTCACTTTTGACTCACAGCTGTAATTTAGGTCCCTTGTGGTGCGCGTGCGCTCGTGTTAACGTCTGTTTCCTGTTTGTGAATGCAGCTCAAACTCTTAATATCGCAGCAACGTGCCCCATTATCAGCATCTTTTTCATAAAACACATCAGCATAAAGGAAACATGCAGAAGCTTAATGCTGCCAGGCTCTGCCTTGTGTTATAACAGGTGAAGAAAACAAGATTAGTTTTAAAATCAACAAACTGCACGAATTTCACCACAGAGCCCCTGAAATTGATGTCAAGATAAAATGATTGACATTTCCTTGTTGCTTCAATTCAGAGTTAGTGTAAATTTAGAAAGTGTCAGAAATTCAATTTTTAAGCCCATTTGCTTGGTTGTTTTTACTAAAGAAACAATGGAAACAGTGGATCTCAACCTTTCTGAGGAGACACTGTCTCAATTAGAGCAAAAGTAGCACCATTTCTACATGCATTATGAGCAGCAGTAACAGAAATAAGTATGTGATGTCAGAAAAGCATTGGTTGAAAGATGCAGTTTATTCTTGTCCTTTTTCCTTATTTTGAGGTTTGAAAATGAAAAAGTTTCTAGAGATCTGAAATCAAAATGGAAACTTTACATTTCTACCCTTTAGAATCCTATATGGCCATCTGATGTGTAAAAGTTAGTGATTAAGGCTGCACAGTGTTAGGAAAATATGCAATAGTATTGATTATTGATTGCCATAGTGACTTGCCTTAAATAAAGAAATAGATGAAAGGTGTTTCTTCTTTTGGTTCACATAGACTGGAGGTAATGATTAGTTAATCTGGCTGATTGATGGATATTGTTTCTGGCTAAAAGCTTTTGTTTTTGCCATTCAAATGAAGGATGTTTGTAGTTTCTGAAACCTTTTACCACTACTGCATCTTTGTTGTCTAAAATGTTTTATGGCGTATTAAAGAGATAAACTACAGACACAGAGAGCCTGCATTCATAGAGCTTAGATTATAAACTTTTATGGTAGTCCAGGCAGGTCTTATCAGTATGCTTATTGTTTACAGTAATATCGTTGCATCAATAAATAACGCAGCCTTGTTAGTAATAGGTTCAGAGAAACCGCAGATGTAAAGTTTTCACTTTTGTTTGTATGTGTTTTTGCATTAGTTACGTCCAAAATAGTGTATGAGTTTTTACAGAAATGAAAACCACACTGAAACTAAATTGATGAAAACTTTTACTTAACACTTGCATTTTACCAGATTATGTTTCCCTTTTTGTTTTTAGATTTCTGCCCAGATTATCTGAACATAAGGAACATAATTTAACTTGCAACCCATAACTTCACCTATTTTACCATCTTATTGTTCTCCTCTGTACTGATTTATTGGATGCAGTTGGATCTTCTCAATGTATTCTAGTTGATATTGCATTTATGCCATTTTACTTTAAACGGGTCCTTTTAATTGGTTGTACTGTAATGGGTTGTTTCTTTGAGTATTATACCTCTGCAAAGACTTCACTTTTAAATTTCATCAGGAAAAGCATTAACCATATGTTTCTCAGTTTTCCATTTAAATAAGCTGACGGTTTAATGTGATCTTAGGTACTGATAGTTGCTCATTTACTGTGTTTAGTTTTACACTGCCATCAAACTTGATGTTTTTCTCCTAACATGGGCAGTGGTTTTGAGTTCAGGCAATACTGTTTTTTTATTTTTTCTTCCAATTTTGACATAAAGAACCCATTACTAATGATGATGACTTTCAGTAGATTCACAAATATTATCTCAAAATCTAAAAAAATATGTGTTTTATAATCTACTTTTATTACTCACTGTTGGCATATCCGTTTTTCTTATATTTAGTATCCATCAATAAAATCCAATTAATATTTTTAAGAAATGTGTCATGTTTTTATATTAATTATGGTGTAAGTATTTTCAAGTATACTAGGTATTAATACTTAACTATTGTAAGTTTTATTATTATTTTCCATTTGTTGTATTGTGTACGCTTTTTTTCCATGGTTTAAAGCAGCTTTAGCTAAGTCTGGTTCAAAGCTTTTCTTCTCATTATAGTGAGATCCATGCTTTTGTATGCAGGCCGTGAAAAAAAAGGTAATAAAACTGAAGTAAACTGTCAGTTTCTTCTCATTACCCAAGGTGTTTTGCCACTGCTTGGGCTTTTAATATATTTGAGAGGAAACCTGCTCAATTAAATTGACCAATTTATTGCCAAAAGTTTTGGTATACATCTACATCAGCGTAATAAAGTGAAATGTTGGGTGTGACATTTTAGAAAATGAACAGAGGCTGAAATACACCTTAAACAGTCTTTTAACATTTACTTATTTTCATAACCTGCAGAATCTCCAGAAAGTCTTAAAGTGGCTCTAAATGGAGAATTAAAACTGTAAATGGGAGTTTAGATGATTTTTTTTCTGTGGTCCAATCAGCTTTTTTTGTCTGTTTCTACATGATTTATAAGTAAAATTAATTTTTTGATATAATTATACCTGCAATTTCTTTTTTTGGGTTATTTTCCTTTCTGTCTCAGAGACCTTGTATCTTATAGATTAAACAATGTAGATAAATTCCTCCTTTCTCTTCATGTTATTTCGTATGGTTTCTCTTAAAGCAGCAGTTTTTCCAAGATGAGCTAAGAAAAGCTGGGTCTTGTTTGGGGTGTTGTGGGCCACTGAGAATCAGTGATTTTTCACTGTATTTAAGCTGTTATTTGACAGAAACCAGGTATGTTGCAACAAGAGCTTCGGATGCGCAGGCGTCAGCAGTTATCTCCAGTTCTATTAAGTAGAAAGCCTCTGGTCTATACATCTAGATCTATATCATTTGATGTTGATGTTTTAGCGAAGAGGCGCTAAGGATTTAGTGGTTTACTGCTTTTAGCTCAGAAATCTTTCAAAAAGCTTTTCTACTTTCATGAAATACTGAGAATGTTCAAACAATAGAGAACTTTTTTTATGGTGCAATGTTTGAACCTGGCCACAGTATTTTTTAATGATTGTATTAAACGTAAAGATGATCATGTTAAATATGTAAAGGAGCATTAGAATATCTTTAGGTGGTTCAAAAACTACAAATCAATGTTTGTTAATTTATTTGTCATTTATTAAAAACTTAATAATCATTTTACGTTTAACCAGGCATTAACCCTGTAATGCCAAATGTATCATGTTTGATACATACGGTTTCTGAAATATTTTGCGTCTGACACCTTTTGCATAATTTAATGGTAAAAACTTTGATAAAAATCCTATTGTACACAATCAGATATACCTGATAACAGAGGGCAGAAGACTACACAAAACATAATCTTGACTTTATCGCATAGTAATAAATTATTAATAACAAAAATGTATTTTTTTTTTTTTTTTTTTTTTACATATTTTGTTAAAAAGGCAAAATAAGGACTTCAAACCAAAAAAAGTAATTTTCTGTTTCGTTTTATTCTTGGATCGGGCTTTAAAGGGTTAATATAAAGTTCATGTTACCATATAAATGCATCAACAGCTAAGAACCCGTCCACTGATAAACTGAAGCCTCTGTTCCGCTCTTTTAATTAACTCCTACATTACATGTAGGTTGTAAAGTTAATACCTCCTTTCACATCTGTACTCTAATTGCATCTCGTTTATTTGTCAGATACTGTTTAACTTTCAGGTTTGTTTGTTCTCTATTGCCTCTTTTTATGATCTGTTTTTAAATGAAGCCTTTTTGTTTTCCTTGTCACCTCCTGCAGTGCCCTTGCAGTACATGGTGGGTTTTTGAGAGGATCGGTAACTGGCGACCATGCCAGGAGGCCGCAGGGGTCCAAGCAGACAGCAGCTAACTCGCTCCTCTCTGCCGTCCCTGCAGACTCTGGTCGGAGGCAACGTCAGCAATGGCACGGGCCTCAGGAACAGGTAGACACATACGCAGCTTTGAGCACTTTGTTTGGAACGTAGAGCTGAAGACGGCCAGGTAGTGGAGGGACTTATATAACAGTGTTGCTATCTTATTTACAGGGTTTTCTGTAGGGATGAATACATTTACTTAATGAACTAAAGAGCATAGGCTATGTCACCACCTGATCTGTCCCGGAAGCATGATCCGTTCTGCGCATGCGCTATCAGCTCAGTTGCGCATGTGCATCTAGAAGAACATCCAGGTTGGCCTCGGTTTTATTTTGTTAAAAATACCTAAATGACGTTTTCCCTCCCCAAATATAGTAAACGGCGGCTAACTTTTTCGGCTTTGGATTAAAACATAATAATAATCTAGTGTTTTTGAGTTAAATGTCTTTGTTTCATTTTAACCTTATGCTATATAGTGCGTAATCTAAAGAAAGAAACAACTAAAAAGCAGCTAAACATTGTTTATTCATATTTGCCGGACTGCTCTGAGCCTGTCCCATGATGACATCAGAGAACGAAGATAATGTAAAAAGTATCAAACTTGTCTCACAAAAGTCATAGAACAGATGTGTATTAGCATTTTTTATTGAGTTATGGATAGAAATAAGTAATTTTACTTCCATAATCACATTCTTTATGGGCACCCGGATGTGTATCTGTTCGTGCATGCGCAGGACTGATCATGCTTCCTTGACAGATGGGTAACTAGTGACAAGATATACTATAGTTTGGCAAGAAAGAAACATGTTTGCTTTTGTCAAACATTTATTTTCTTTATTTAATCTTGATTTGACCCAAAACTGATACCTTTAAGCAAGGGCTCAGCTTTACTTTAACTAAGAAAAGCAGGATGGATTCAGATCATAGGTTGCTTCTTGTTACTGTGGCAACTTCCACATTTTAAGCCGAAAAAAGTGTTGACGATGTTTCAGCAACCACAGATGTGGCAGGTCTCCGACTGCATCAGTCGTGTCTCAACCAGAACGTATGAATGGATGTTCCTTCTCTCTCTCTGTTTGAAAGTACTCTGCCTCTGCAGTCATCAAAAATAGGTTGGCCATTATGCAAATGGAGGAAATTCTGAAAGCAAAAGAACATTCTGTCATTCTGATGTTTAGTTTGACATCATATTACTCAGAATATACCTGTAAAAGATGTTGCCGTACATTATGATCACTACAGACAGCATGCAGATCATTTCAATAAAGGAGAGATGGACTATTTTCTTTTCCTACAATAATGTTCCAGATTCCTGTTAGTAAAAAAATAGAAAGCTTCAAAATCGTCCAATATATGTTGTTTAGGACCCTCCTTAAATTAAAATTTCAGCTTCACCACTGAGGAAGACCAGAAGTAGTGTATACATTTGCATTGCAATGAATTACTGTAAGGATTTATGCATCACATCTTTTTTAGTATTTCTTTTTGCATCAAAGCTTTATAAAATGAAGTTCAACAGATGTATATGTGTTGAACGTGAATAAATGTATCTAACTGCATTATTTGGTGTGGATTCTTTCAGAAGCAGTAACTCTGTGGGCCTATCTGCTCCGCCTATTTCTACTCTCATCACTCCGGAGCCAGTCCGTCACTCCAGGATCCCCGAGCTGCCACTGGATAGCAGCTTCCTGTTTGAGTTCCTACTCTTTCTTTACCTGTTGGTTGCTTTGTTTGTCCAGTACATCAACATCTACAGGACAGTGTGGTGGTACCCCTACAGTCACCCTGCTGCCTCTACATCACTTGTAAGATCCCACAGATGTTAGGTCAGGTAACGTAGGACAACGTGGATGATTTTTAGAAAATAAACTTTTTCTCCTTGTAGAACTTTCATCTAATGGACTACCACCTGGCTACCTTTATCGCTGTTATGTTGGCCAGGAGACTTGTTTGGACGATTGTATCCGAGGTAAACTGATCTGTGATCAGTCAGTTGACATCTGAACCACTGAAGTTTATGTTGGATAATTTGAATAAATTATGGCACAGGTATCCCAGAGTGGTGGAGGATCCCTGCTGCGCTACATCGTACTGATTGCAGCTCGGCTCATCCTCCTGACCATGTGTGGCTGGGTGCTCTGCTGGACGCTGGTCAACCTGTGCAGGAACCACTCTGTCCTTAACCTCCTCTTCCTGGGTTATCCGTGAGTCAAAGCAGATTACTTTCTACAGAACTGCTACTGGGTCATATCAGTCATTTATCCGTGCACCGAATATTAGGAGGTGTATGTCTCAAAACAATGATTCTAATTACTTAACATTGATTTTTTTTTTTTTTATTTTTTTTTTTTTATGCTACTACATTCATAAATTAGCATGTAAATTCTGATAAAAACACTTAGAAAGCATGATACTTAATCCAAAATTAGGCTGGGATGTCATGCTAATCAAGCCTCCCTGCTCAGTTGCCGTGTTAGAAGGTGTCACAATCAAGTTGGTGTGCAAACACCTTTTCTCTTCCTTATTTGTCTAAAAGTCAGTTGGGGAGTGGTCTCCATCCTGTGTTATATGTATAGTGTCAGTGAAAAAAAAAGAAAAGAAATGTATATTAATAATTTAGACAGAAATTCTGTTCAACACTGTTTAAGATTTGTTTTCATGACCATGAACATTAAAGATTCACACTGAAGGCATCAAAACTATGAATTAACACATGTTGAATTATATACTTAACAAAAAGTGTGAAACAACTGAAAATATATATATATATATATATATATATTCTAGATTCTTCAAAGTAGCCACCTTTTGATTTGATTACTGCTTTGCTCACTCTTGGCACTGTAGCTGCACTAATTCTAGTCTATCCAGAATTTATTTTAAGAGAAGGAAGTTTTTCAATGAGCCTAAAATGTAAAACCACAGACAAGTTGAGATTATTTTTGGCAGCAGACTTTCATATTTAAAGCAGGCTTATCTACAAAGGTCTGTAAAACCGGACTGGACTTGAATTCTGGCCATTGAAAACGTTTTGCTGTTCGGGAGATGTTCCAAACTTCAGTCTGTTGTAGATGAGTCACTTTGCATATTTGAAATCACATTTAGAGTTTTGCCAAAACATGTATACTAGCCTGGGACTTCCTCACCTGCAGGACGATGTGAATTAGTCTGAACCAGCTGGGCATCAGGTTCAAGGCTAGGTCATATCTGTGTAAAGATGGAATGGCTCATATATTCTCAGATTTTGATTCTTCAGTTGTAGGTGCAAAGCTAAGTCTTGTCCGCTTCGGAAGATCAAGTGTCTTTAACATAATCCTGCTCTCATTCTTATTTTTTAATCTGCAAAATGGAAATGATCTTGAATTATAAGTATCAGGTCCAAACACACACACACAAATGGGTTTTGAACTTTAAATCACGGTACTTTGGTTAGAGCTCTGTTTCTGAAATGCCTGAGTCGGGAATAAATTAAAGGAAAAGAAGAGAAGTGTGCTTATCTCTATAATTGGACCTAACAGGATTTAGAACCTTGTTTTACATCATGCTAAAATTTCTGTCTCTTTTTGGCACCTATATAAGTGATTAAATGCACAACAGAAATTAAAAGTAGGAACAAATATACACAAAGTTTTACACAAACTTTTTAACAAAAGAGAAGTGTAAAATCAACCAATCTAATGACATTGAAAATGAATTTAATAAATTCTTTGCTGATATTATTACAATTGTTAAAAATTTTAAAAGTAAAAATCAGAAGACTGGAATGGATTAGATATATCAGTATTGAAAGAAGTGAGTATATTGCCAAACCGCTTCCATACATGTAACCAGTCCTTGCAGTTAGGCAGGTTTCCCAAAAAAAGATGAAGATTGCTAAGGTTAGTCCTATTTACAAGGCTGGGGACAAGAACGATTTTTCTAATTACTGGCCGATATCTCTTTTATCTCAATTTTGAAAAATATTAAATAAAAGATGATATAATTTTACTGTAAAACATAATATTCTCTGTGAGCAGCAGTATGGATTCAGACCTGATAGGTCTGCTGCCCTGGCTCTTGTTGATCTTGTGGAAAGAATATCTGATGCGATTAATAATAAACAATACACTGTAGGAGTGTTCTTAGACCTAACTAAAGCTTTTGATACTGTAATCATGAATTATTGCTTAAAAACTTAGTAGATATGGAATTAGGGTTGTGGCTCTTTCTTGGATCAAGAGTTATTTGGAGAATAGCTCACAATATGTTCATATTAGAAATACTGATTCGCAGCTGCTGACAATGACCACTGGTCTACCGCAGGGGTCAGTTTTGGGTCCTTTACTATTTATTCTTTATATTAATGATATATGTTTAGTCTAAAAAATATTACATTTTATATTATTTGCAGATGATACTAATATCCTTAGTTCTGGTAAAGATTTAAAAACCTTATTGGAGAATATAGGAAAATAATTAAATATATTAAAGTGTTGGTTTGATTCAAACAAATTGACCTTAAATTTAAAGAAAACAAAATTTATAATATTCACATATCTTGCTATTAATGTGCACAAAAAATTGAAAATAAAGACATAGATTTTGAAAGAGTAAGTGAAGTAAAATTTCTAGGGGTAGCGATACAAAATAAGTTAGGTTGGAAACCACATATTGACTATATCAGATCAAAGTTATCAAAAACATTGGCTTTGGTATATAAATTTAAAGGCCTTTTTAAATAAAAAAAACATTATATTTCTTGTATTGTTCATTAGTTTTGCCTTACCTGATGTACTGTCTTGAAGTGTGGGGAAACACCTATAAATTAAGTTAAACCCATTATTCATAATTCAAAAGAGAGCTATTCAGATTGTAAATATAGCAGAATATAGAGAGCATACAAACCAACTTTTTGTACATTTTTTTTGTACTGCTCAATTTATGTACAAAGTAAAAAATATGTTGCCAGTACATATTCAGGGTCTGTTTTTGATCAGGGACTGTGCTTATGATCTCAGAGGGTATAAAATGTTCAGAAAACCAAAAACAAGAACAAATGTAAAACATTGTATTTCTTTGGTTGGGGTTGATGTATGGAACAAATTAGAACAGGAGCTAAAGATTGTACAACATTAACAAGGTTTAAAAACAAATGTAAGAATAATACAATAAAAAATTATGAAACGTGAATGCAATTAAGAGCAGCAAGATATTGGGTGCATTAGCTTTTTCTTTTAGTTATTATTGTAGAATAATATATTTTCCTAAAATCATACGTTGGTATGCATTATAAACGGTAGCCATCTATTTATCTTTTTTTCTTTGCTTTCTAGTCCATTGTAAATTGGCTTTGGAGGGTGGGCATTATAAACTTCTTTCTTCTGCCAATACACAGTTTTTCAGACTGTTTTAATTTATGTTATATGGACATACTGTCTTTATTACATACTTGTATGTCTGAAATAAACAAAAAGTGTGCAGCTACTTCACAACCTGCCGGTGCCAACATATTCTACCAGGTCGTCAACACATAGCAGAGCCTCTCTCTGATTGGTTGTCTTTGTTTGTCTAGTGGTAAACTCATGCACTGGGTCAGTTAACAGTCAAGTGTGAAGCTGCCAGGATGAGAATCAGATCCTCCCAGTCTGTAAACATTGTTCTTGACTGGGGAAAAGGTGGTCTGTCACCTTCAGGTTGAAGTTCCTGCCTCAAGGGGAGGAGTTAAAGTGTTTGGGGGCCTGAGGAGTGAGGGGAGAATGGAGCGGGAGATCGATGGATGGATCGTGCAGCTGCTGCTAAAACGCGGGAGCTGCCTGCCATGGTGGAGAGAGAGCAGAGTAAAAATCCTCTCAATTTATCAGTCGGTCTACGTTTCTACCCTCACCTATGGTCATGAAATCTGGTTCATGACCAAAGGACAAGACCCTGGATACAACTGTCTGAAATGAGCAGGGTGACTTGGCTGTCTCTTAGAGATAGGGGGAGGGGCTCAGTCATCTGGGAGAGGCTCTGAGTAGAGCCATTTCTCCTCAACATTGAAAGGAGTTGGGTGTAGAGGTGTGGGGGGGGGGAAATAATTTTGGCAATATATCGTGATTTTGGGTTGCTTGATATTATATCGATCTTTTAGTGCCTAGTATTGATTTTTTGTTTTCTTTTAAGCAAAGCATTTTTACCTTAAACTGAGGGAGAATGGGCTACCTCTGCACCGCCAGTCTGGCAGACGGCGCTGTGTAGCCCTTTTATTGTGCGGAGCAGCGCCATATCTGCAGTCGAGGCAGTCAAAGTGAAAGACGATAACTGACTCAAACCCCAAGCAACATGGATACCAAAATAACTGAGCGGTTACTTTTTTATCTATACATTTAATTTTGATTGCAGGAAAGATATTGAAATATATGGTGATTATGCAATATAGGGATATCATCGTATGATGACACATATCGTATCGCAACACCCGAGGCAATACTCACCCCTAATTGGGTGCAGTGGCTCGGCCATCTTTTTTGGCCGCCCCTGGGCACCTTGCTCGAGAGATGTTCCACGGACATCCCCCTGGGAAGGGGACGACCCAGGACACACTGGAGGGACAATGTGTCTCTGCTGGCCTTGGAGTGGCTCAGACAGAGCTGAGGAGGTGTCTGAATAGATGGAAGTCTGGGAGACTCTGCTGAGACTGCTGCCCCTGTGACTCGGTCACAGATAAAGCAGAAACGACTATGATTACAATGATGCTCTTCATCAAATCAGCCTTCTTGGGCCACTGCTGTCAGGACGCATGTATAGCGACCTTCTTCCTCAAAGCCGCCGTGTCCGTCTTCAGCCAGTGTATGCCCGCTGTGAGGGGCGATGATAGTAATATGTATCTTCATCAGAATTTCCAAAGCTGGCGATCAATCTGTTTATCCACTATGGTACAGTAATGCTGTTGAGTCTCTTCTTTTATGCACTAATGGGTCCAGAAAATGCAATTTGCTCTCCCTTGGTATGTTTCAGCCTTTAAAATATTTATGTGTTCACAATATACATTGCATCATGTAAACCTCTGTCCTTTGTTTTCTCCTCTTGTTTCACTCACTGTCCTCTTCAGATTTGGCGTGTACGTCCCTCTCTGCTGTTTCCATCAGGAGGGAGGGAAGAGCCAAGCATCAGCGTCCGACTGCGAGTACCCCGCCGACCACCAGCAGACCGACCTCGCAGAATCCCCGTTGTTCCGACCCCGCGACTTTCTCTTCCTTTTACGAGAAAACATCAGAGAACAGTTCTCCAGCCCCCCACATATGCCCACGCACACCTGCCCACAGCACATACACTCAGACACACCTGAGCTAATTCGAGCAGAGGTGGAGGAGTTGAAAAGCGATTTTAACCGACGAATTAAAGAAGTGCTGTTCAACTCACTATTCAGTGCTTACTATGTAGCCTTCCTGCCTCTCTGCTTTGTTAAGGTTGGTGTCTTTCCTTTTCTTTTAATGCTGTTTTTGATGTAAACGTGTCATTCAGTTCAGTTCATACCCAACCCTTCATTCACACAGTAATTCTTCCCTCTTTTAAAACTAATCTCATGCACTTCCATTCAACAGAGTACACAGTACTACGACATGCGCTGGTCTTGTGAGCATCTGATAATGGTATGGATCAATGCCTTTGTGATGCTGATGAGCCAGCTGCTGCCTCCCAGCTACTGCGACCTGCTTCACCGCTCGGCGGCTCACCTGGGCCGCTGGCAGAAACTGGAGCACGGTTCATACAGTAACACACCTCAGCATGTGTAGGTGGCTCCTCAACACACATCTATACCCCGAGAGAGGGAGAAATAATGTTGTTCATGGTTTCTGTGGTATCGATGTCTTTCAGGTGGTCGGAAAGCACTGTTTGGCCTCAGGGGGTGTTGGTACGTCACAGCCGATGTCTATATAAGGCTGTTGGTTCCTATAATGTTGCTCTCCCCTCTGATGTCTCACATGCAAGGTTTTATGTGAGTGTCTTATTTTTAATCAGAGCTGCTTTTATGTCCCTGTGTTCTTTGGAAAATTTTTAAAGGAGGGAAGGAAAAACAATTTTTTAAACATCAGCAAAAGTTTTTTTTTTAATTGAAGACATATTTAAAGAGTTTGGTTAGACTTGTATTTTAGCAACAATCCAACTTTTTTTTTTTTTCATTTTGCACTACCTTGACCACCTGGTTTATTTTTTTTCTTTTTAATTTCTAGAAACTTAAATACATGAATATTAATAAATAGGGCGGGCTTTATATATTTCCTTTTATAGTAATGCTCAGTTGAAGAAAAAATACATTAAAATTATTATTATCAACAAATTCTTTCACAATAACTGGGTGGAGTTGGTGGGTTTGAGCGGAACATGTGGACGTTTAACTTTTCTTTGCTACTTTTTTCTGCCTTTTTCCTACACTGCAGTGGCAATTTTATTCTATTTCTTCACCTTGTGAGAAAATACCATAAAAAATTATGGGGTTGTTAAAGATTGATGTGGTGATACTTTGCGATTTTCAGTTGCCTGATAATAATATTGAACTTTCAGCTCCTTATACCGATTCCTCAGGATCTTCGGGTTTTACCTCTGTTACCACTATACACCCTCACCCGAGGAAGGCCCAGTCGGGGATGATAAGTCCCCACTGTGTGGAATAAAATTCCTATAGTTAAAGAGAAGGAGCAAGCTAAAAAAAAAAAAAAAAGGCATTTTTTTTCCTAACATAGGAGGTAAAAATAATTTCTCCTACCATTTTATTTCCTCCCTTTTGTACATTCTCAGTAACTCAGGGTAGCTCATCCATAATGTCGCCACTTATAGTGCTTACAATGCCGTCATTATGTCATAATGACTGCTGTGAGATGTCTACTCAGTAGTTTCAGTGAAAAGACACTTGTTGCACTTTATTTTATGATGGCAGTATGTTTGTAACTGCATGTTGTTTTTTTCAGTGAGAATGTGCAAGAATACTTGTAGTAGAAAATAAATAGGATGTTTTGAAGCACATTAGACCGAGCTAAGCAAAGAGACGCCTAAGGATAATTTAAAGAGACTGAAAAACATCACAAGCACCATCTTCAAATGTAGAGAACTTGGAAAAATAACCTACATATTGACAAAGAGCAAAAAGAGCCCCTTACAGATAGAAAACCTCCACCTGTAGAACTGAAATTAATGAATCCCATGTATTCATGTCCTTGTCATACATTTATGTATGAAATGTGTAGACCCCCCACCCCCCAGCAGACAGCCCATCACCACAGTGTTACCCTTACAGGACGGTTACTTAAAGGTTTAACTGGCATTTTCCTCCTAATCAATGAAATATTTTTTTAGAATATTAATTTTTTATTTAGATGATCTTTGTCTGACATTTAAACTAAAGGGTTTGTCTGAAAGATTTGTGGGTAACAACAAAGAAAAGAGAATAAATCTGCTTTAGGGGCTGTTTGACCCGTACGAGTTTGACAGTGATGAGGTTAAAAAACAGAAGTGAAACTGCGCCCACATGATAAAACTACCTGACCATAGCCTGCTCCCTGTAGCCCTGCTTAAGATAAAAAAGATCAACAGTAATGGGGACAGTAACATCTAAAAGGAATTCATTCAGATTTTCTTAACCAAAGCTAAGGAGGAAATTATAGGGAGCATTGAGGAAAACAGAAAGTAAATGTAACAGCTCCGACTTAAGATCAGCAGATTGTCTGACACATTGTCTGTTATTTACATGACAACAGAAAACAGCAGAGGCGTTTACTAAGTCAAAAACTGTTGGGAGGAAGCAATAGTCATGGCATGACGCAACAAAAAAAACAAAAGGAAAAGTAAATTAATAAAGAAAAATGGAGCTGTTACATTTACTTTCTGTTTTCCTCGATGCTCCCTATAGTTTCCTCCTTAGCCTTTTACAGTCTAGTCCTGGCAGGCTGGGATAACTCAAGCTGCTGCACATCGTTAACCTCTTACTACTCCATCATTCTAACAGCACACATACATTTCTTTATATTAGGGGTGTGAACATTTACAAAGCAGACAACTTAAACTATCTCCTTTATTTTAAGAATTCTTTAGTTTTTCTATGCAATATCATCTATTTTGTTTAGATTCATGGATTTATACTTTATTACTTGTGAAACTTACTCATCCGCTTCAGAGGCTGGATTTATTTTCTTTTTAAGGTGCTATAGGAGGTTTAGGGAAATCTCATTAAATTGGTTAAATTGTAAAGATAAGTTACAGAAATAAAAGGACTTAGTTTTTCTAACTGCATCAAATATTGTTAAAACTGTTCACGACTTCAGGCTTGTCTAGAGAAAGATTGTGATAAGCCATCTATGCATGGTAATTATTCCACTAAATGGAAAACAAGATGATAGATTAAGGATTGGTAGTTGCAGCTAACGGCTTCCTGCTGTGCTCTAGTGTTTAATCAGGTTTTATTGCAGTTTTCTCAGATTGCATTCAAATAAACAGGATAACTAGTTAATATGAAAGGTTTAAAATAAACTGCAAGCAGCTTTCTGTTTTGATAAATCTACATAAAAATCTATTCAGTAAAAAATATAATTTATCTTTACTTGAGAGGAGAAAACTACAAAAACGTATTCATTTTCTATCTGGAACCAAACAGACTCTGTAGCAGGTGGTGCTTCAAAGTAACAATGTGCTTTACTTATATGTTCTGTATTGGATGGGTCCTTCTAAAACAGTTTTATTATCATTGTATCTTTTGTTTAAACATTTTTACCATGCATATGAGGTTTAATGTTAGCGTTAAGATGATGCAGGATGAATATGGAAACACTCAGCAGTGTAGTTTTTTCAGCAGGAAGCGACAGCTAGCATGTTGAATGTTTTTTTTTCTGCTTTTGAAAGTGTTTGCTCTGCCTGCTATCCATTAGCACCCTTAATGACTTCTTTTGTGAATGGGCAAGATGGGCAGATGCAGCACAAAATGGGGAGTTTATCAAATAGACATCCTAATTTTAACATTTACTGACCATGCAAATCCATAGAACATTGAAATGCAAAATGTAGTGAAACCTTTATTATCTCTGACTCAGTTAAATATTATTTTTTTTGTTTTCAATTCTCGTCTGTTCTTACAGTTCCTGTTTCATAAGCCATTGCGGATCTTAAACCTGCTGATCGGGATCGAGTCCAGCGTGGTTTTATACCAGCTCTACTCTCTGCTGCGCTCGGAGCGCTGGAACCACACGTTGTCTCTGGGCCTTATTCTCCTCTGCAACTACTATGTGCTTTTTAAACTTCTCCGAGATCGCATTGTGTTGGGCAAAGCCTATTCCTACCCGCTCTCCTCCAACAGTTCGGGGCTCAAGTCACAGTAAAGGACAACAAGACCTGGCCTTCAAACTTTGGATGTGGAGCCAGGGGTCGGAGGGGTACAGACTGTGAACTCACCTCTGTGTTTTTGATACGGTTCTATTTTTAATGCAATGTTTGTATATGCCTATTTAAAAGAATATTTTTATTTTGTATACTATTACATGTTACACCGGGCATTACAGCTCCGATGACGTTAGCATGTTGTTACGTTGTTGCCAGACAACGGGGAGGTCAGGGAATGCCTGGGGGTGACTTTCACCAAAGATCCTTTAAGTGCAAGTGGCCAATCAGATTGGACATGGCCCCAAGATGTCAGTCAATAAATTGAGGAATTTAAGAAGAACAAAAGGATTTGTGCCTGAGATCCAGATTGTTTTTGGTTTTTTCTTGCTTCATCGCAGAATCCCTTCTCTACAGGTCATTGATTTTGGAGGCAACATAATTTAGCATCCATGCAGAAAATGCATGTCAACCCTTAGATCCTGCTCTTAGAGGAGTTTGTCATTTTGCTCAGATCCTCTTATTGGCATTTAGATGGTACAGGCTGATACTTCTTTTCGGATCGTTACAAATTTCTCTAGTTTATTCAAGATAAAACTAAAGTCGATCAACAAAATGTGACAAATTTTCCCTTTTTTTTTTTTATGTTGTATATGGATGTAATGTGGGCCAAACTGGCTTTTTTGTGTTTTATTTCATTGACTCATTTGAACTTAGATGACTGGTGATTCTAGCCAGACAAAGACGAGAGTGGCTTCTAATTTGACTAAACCAAAATATATTCCCCAAAAATGACAAACTGCTCCCTAAAGCAGAATCTCTAAGTTTCTGATGAAATAAACATCAGCAGAATGATTTGATTGAACTGCGCTGAATGTTTTTCCACCTCGCTTCAGATCGGTTATGACTGCCGCTGATACCGGACCCTTTGTATTTGCAAAAATGTGGAGTAGTTCAATAGACTGTTGGCATTTCCTAAGAGCGAATTAAAATGAAAACTTATTCCATAATTTGTTTTCCCAACTTACAGTTAGGAAACGGGTGCCGTTTTAAGTTCAAAGCTTGATTGATGTCTGGCCTCAATTTGACTTGCTAAATTAAATTTTCTATGACTGGTTTCTGTTTTAAAGGTATACAAAATATTGCCCCCTAAACGGGAGGACAAGTACATCCAGTTAGTCTTTTGTTGGGTTAAGATGTATAAAATGAAGGGACAGTGGTAGATAAATCATTTTGGATATACCCGCACTTTAGCCTTTTTTCAACTTTAAAAAAACGAAAAGCTGTCGCTCCTCACCGATCTGGATTTACTGTTTGATATGAATTAAAGGCAAAGTAGAGGCTGGCAGGAAATACTCTTGTAACATTTCCAGTTCCCATATGCAAAGTTACAAAACAAAGATCACCTTCTGTTTCATTTCACTTGTTGAACACCTTCATGGTCTCTATTGCTTTCTCTGTTTAAGCTTCTTTGCTACCACCTACTTTGGTTTCAGTATTGATGAAAAGGAAAATGCTAAATCTAATAAACTCAATGCAAAATACAGGTACCAGGTTTAATCTAAGGGTTTGCTCTTTGGTGCTGTTTTTCACATTTTTCACAGGAATGTAGTAGATGGCAGTGAGCTGAGGTTGCATGTTATTGTAGCTAATTCCAACTGGTAGCCTTATCAGCATGGGGATTGAAATGTAAGCTTTGAATGTGGTTCTTCCATCTTTCACTTGCTCTTAACTGAGAAACATCACTCGAAGGTTTTTAGATTCTGCATTTGTTTAGGCTTTATTCCATAAGATTTGGAGACTTTAAATTGGACAAAAGTCTAAACTCTGAGAGATCTCATGTTTTTTTGATCCCACTGCTGTGAAATGTATTTGATCTTATTTGAGTTTACATAAAACAATTGTTTCAAATTGATCAAGAGATTTTCTTTTTGTTCTCTTTTGTGCTGTATCCCAGGATCCAGGTTCAGATTTCTGGCTATTCTGTGTCTCCACTGGTTGAGGTATAGGACCAGGATCCTTGTATCTCGGCATATGACAGTATTCAGATTCCACAAACCATTTCTGGATTTTCTGACACCTGAAATAAAGTTAATGGTGTTAATTCATGTTATGTTTTGTCTTGTAAGAAATATTTTTTTTCAAAGAATATATTTTATTACATTTTCTGTTGTCTTGGATTTTAAGAAAAGCAAAAAAAACAACAACAAAAAAAGGCTTAACTGAATCTAGGCTGTTGACATGAAAGTTTTTGTTGAGACATGCAGTGCTTTGTGTCGCCACTAGAGGGCGGAGTACAACAATCAAGCCTAGTTAAACAGGAATCATTACATAACGCAAATGAATTTAATAGACTCCATTGAAATAAAAAGTATGATCATCAAAACCTTTTATGTCTACTTTGAGGTGCAAGATAGACGGGAAAAAGGCAACTTTGGTTTTACAGACGTGTACATTCATCCACAGGTAACATTTTCAGTAGAAGGAAGTCTTGACAGTGCATTTTAAAGTAAAGTAACAAAAGTTTTAGCTGGAATAAAAGAGAACATGTCCACTCCATCAGTCTGCCTTCCACTTCATTAAAACTCACTTTAATTTTTCACAGCAGATACCCTCTTCCCCTAAAATATTAGGTTGCAGCAATAAACACATTTTCACTTCATTTTTCTTAAAGAGGTTTTCGGCCTTAACTCTCCTCAACTGGGACAAAGAAATGAATACTTATACTTGTTTAGAAATCTCAGTGTTAACAAAAAATGCTGATAAATACTGGTATCCTCTGGGTTCCAGCATTCCAGAGGAATATGCAGTGCCTCAGAGAAGTGCCTTCAGTATATTTGGATTTGCTGTAACCAACACAGAGTAGCCTATAGTTATGAAAGGGAAGGAAAAAGATGCACAGTTTTCAATATATTTCAAGCCCCATTTACTCTTGATTCTACCAAAAGACAGTTATCAGTTGCTAATAATGGCTCCAGAAATCCAATTATCTGGATTCGAGCTGTAATGTAATCTCATTTTAGATGCAGCGGTTCAGTAAACACCTCAGAGGACTGTTAAGAGGATATTACTGATAAAGCATCATAAACACTCAAGGAATACAGCAGGCAGGTTAAGGGGAATCAAAAGAAGGTGGTAAAAGCAGGGAGAGCAAATAAACTATTTTTCATTTAATTTCTTAACTAGTTTTAAGGCAGTGCTGAAAAAAAGACTTCAGACCTTGAAGGTCCATCTTTCTACAGGACAGAGTGGTGAATCTTCAATAAGTATTATCCTTAATAATACCAGTAATACCTGTATTCTTATTCTTAAAGTATGATCAGTTTTTTTTTAGACTAATTTGAGAATCCTTTCCTGGCAAACGGTCCACATAGATTATTTTTAGAGGGCTTGCAGTATACAAAACACAAGATGGAGAATGTACCTCATTGAGTGGACATGCTATTTAGCCAAATGGTAATGATGACACCATGTCATGCCGCCATAGATTAAGAGTCATATTGCTTAAATAAAAAATCCTGAGCATAGAGCCAAATCCATAATATAATGCTATTGATCTTAACAAATGTATCTGATTAGTCGAGTGAAAGTTCAGCCCCAAGTGGCCTCAACATCTTATCTATCACAGCAAAGAATGGGACGATTTTAGTGTCTAGATGTGCAAAGCAGGTAGAAATCTTTCCCAAAGACTGCCGCAGTGGTAACTGTATTGAAGGTCGGTTCCACCTAATATTGACCTTGTAAAGCTTTATGCATAATTGTCACACTTTAAATGTTTTTTTTTTTAATAATCATGAAAACTGTGCATCATTTTTCTTACACTACAACTGTGTACAAACTTAAAATGTGTTGAAGTTTGTAGTTGTAGCTTAACAAAATCTGAAAAAGTTCCTAGAGTATGGCAAAGTTCTTTTAGTTACTGCATCCCTTTCGACATCCTCATCCTTCTCTGCAGTCCACAAAGTTTCCTTTAATCCAGTAGCAAATCTGTGCATATTTAAGAGGTGTGATTCTCACTGCCACATTAAATTCCTGAGATGTTCCTTTCTTCTCTACCCACTGGTGGCCCGAAAACACACCTATCACCTTTCGCTCCCAACGCCGGCGCCGCCCATCCCACATCCGGGCATAGACTCCAGAGCCGCTGGCCCCAGGCTGAGCATCACAGTGTTGGTACAGCAAATCCGACGTCTCCTCACCAGCCTGACAGAAGCGATACACCAGCTGTCCTGGGCGGTCGTTGTCAAATCCTGAGAAGTGGACACGACGGCCAGGAAGTCTCTGAGCTGGGGGGCTGACTCCCAGCTTCATGTGGCGACGTTTGTGTGGTTTTTTCAATTCCAGTAAAGCGTAGTCGTAGTCCATCCCGATTTCATTTGCATTTCCTTTAATCCAACCTTTAGGAACATGGGTGCGCTTGGCTCTGATCCATTGGAACTTCATTTTGTCATTGACAGGTGGGGAGTATTGAGCAGCACCTCCCTCTATGTGATTGGTGAAGTTAGAGGGAAGGTAGACAGATGGATCTTGTGTATCCCGTTGCTTTGACTTCAAAAAGCCAACCCGAAGCCTCTGGGCTCCTTTCACATAGTTTTTGCCGTCATGGACACAATGAGCCGCTGTCAGAACATGTCGTTCCCCCACTAGTGTACCGGAACATCCAGTGGACAGTTTGACCGCCACCGAGAAGGGGTACTTGAGTAGGAAGTTCTGCCCTGCAATACTGAAACGTCCATCATGTCCAAATATCTGTCGTTTTCTTCTGACATGGGACCCCTTAGCCTTAACAGAAGACCCAGAGGAGTGAGCTGGACTGGTACTGGCATATGGACTGTAACCATAAATCCCAACAGCAGTCTCTGTGAGTTGACCATTAGAGTGGAGAGTCTCGTAGGCCAAAAAGCTGCGCAAATCCCAGTAGCTGGGACGAGGGGCTTTCTTGTGGCATTCAGGGTCACAGGGGGAGGCAACATCCAGGCGGGCCTCATTCACAAAATGCGGGGTCGGCCCAGCCTCTGTTTGCTGGGGCAGGACCACAGGGATACGCTGGAGAATCCATTGACGCCGAGAAGAGGAGGACAAAACAGAGGGGAGGAAAAGGAGACACAAAAGGGAGCCAAACCTATAAGAAGCAAAAAGCATATTAAGGAACCTGTGAAAAGCAAGTTTAAATGTTAAATATCATACCAAATATTTCTGCAAAGCAACTGATTGAAAGTGACCGCATGTCTGGACCGCCTTATCAAACATCCTCATTCCTAAAGTCTCTATCATGCATATTTAATTACATGCATGGGAGTTGGAGAGGGTTTTTAATCTGGAGGAATTTTGATCCGAGCTGAAATTTTGCAGCGGTAACTTTCCACTGTTTCATGCAGTAAAAATGGCAAAGAAGGACAAGATCAGGCCACTGATGGAAAATTCCTGAACTGGCCTTAGGGGCTGACCTTAAACCATAAAGAGCAGCTGAAAAGCATGTTGCAGTGAAAACAAAACGTGCTGTTTTTTTTTTGGAAAAGAGCTATTTGACCCACACATATTTATGAGTTTCAAATTATTAATGGTTCCTTCTAAAGTTCCTTAAACTTTAAGTGGGAAAGGGTTAATCATTTCTTTTGCACATTTTACTATTAAAAAAAATCATTCCATTACTTTTTTTCTTTTTTGTTTATATCATAAAGCGATTTAATTCTTTGTATCCATCCTTCCTTTACGCATATAAGTCCACCGCTGGAACTTACCGGGGAAGCGCAGCCTGGGAGCGCATGGTCCTGTCTCTGCAGGTGAGCCTGTGGCTGAACACCGAGGGAAATCCCCTCTATCTGCTGCAGGAAGACACACCTCTGAAAACAAAAAAACTGCGTCTTCGACTTAAAAGAGCCACCGGTCGTTTGGTATGTAAAGAAAATTCAAGCTTTACGCGGAACCGTGACGGTGTGATCGGATCCACAGCATGCAGCTCTGTCCAGGACGAATGTGCTGGATCATTGCGCGCTGCTGGAGGAGGATCTGCGGACTGCCTGATCCCCGGTGTCACATCCGCCAACGAGGATACAGAGCACCAAGCCCAGCGCTGTCATGTGATATCACATCAGTGCCACTGATTGCAGCAGCAGGGACCAGGCGAGGCTTCCTGGTTTGATCCCAGCTAAATCAAATCCAGTGCATGACTGTTCTTTTTTTTGCAACATACAATTGATTCAACATAACAAATTACAGTTTTAATTTATTTGACAAAATCAACAAATAGTTGATAGCTGCTCAGCGTAACAGTGCAGCACTGCTGGCTTGCAGCAAGAAGGTTCCAGGTTTGATTCCCAGCCAGGGGTCTTTCTGCATGGAGTTTGCAAGTTCTGCCTGAGCATGCGTGGGTTCTCTCCAGGTACTCCGGCTTCTTCCCACAGTCCAAAATCATGACTGTTAGGTTAATTGGCTTCTCTTGATTCTCCTTAGGTATGAGTGTGTGCGTGAATGGTTGTTTGTCTCTGTGTTGCCCTGCGATGGACTGGCGACCTGTCCAGGGTGTAGCCCACCTCTCGCCCATTGACCACTGGAGATAGGCACCAGCACCCCCTACGACCCCATTTGGGATTAAGCGTGTTTGAAGATGGATGGAATGTTATTTTATTTTCAGCCTACAGTTAATAAAACCCCAAATTATGTTAGTCCACTTGTTTCTTGTACAATGGTTCCCAAACTGGGAGTCTGGACCCCAAGTGGGGGATGATTTTTAATAAACATTGCGATGTGAACCCTGAGGTACATGGAGGGCCAAAATCATAAGTTTGCATAGGGACCATAGTGACATGTCCCTACCAAAATTTTGGCCCGACCTACTTATCCCTACCAATAATTCAATGTGAATAACATGTTTATAATTTACAATACAGCGTTGTTGCAGCAGTCGCTTCTTTTCTCACCACTTGTATATTGAAGTCAATATTTTAAATGCTCAGTGTCAGTTCCTCTTATAGTTCCCACGCCTATGTAAATACAATAACTCTATTTGCAGTCTCTTGAATATGTTATTTCTGCTTTGTTTTACAATACAGAGAATATCAGCATATCAGGTAAAAAAAAATGTGTGGGTTTTACCTCTGTTTACCTCTGCATATTACCTATAGAAAACACTGGATAAATACACATACAAAAGACATATTTAGACTATATTTGGTTAAAAAGGCACATATTTACTTCCGTCTTAGTCATTGGTAAGTTCAAATGTAACCCTTTCAAAGTGTAAGGTTGTCCCAATTTTACATTATTCCGAGCCACTCATGCTTCAAACATTAAAAACAGCATCTTGTGTGTGTAGTCCTTATAAAATTTGTATAAATGTAGCAAAAAAAAAATGCTGTTTTCTCTTTGAACAAAATGCGCCCTGATGCTTAAGTCAAACATTAAAAAAAATAGAAGCATGCGCAATTCGTAGGACCAAAGATATCAGACCAATTCAACTTAAGACCGATAGTGTCCCTACCAAAGTTGAGATCAAACCTACGCCCTTGGCCAAAATGCAAAGTGAAATTCATCAATGTGAATTAGAAGATGTAGCATGTAGATATACATTTTAAAATAAACATCCCAACAAATTAAATAAGGCACATTTAGATTAGTTAAATGTTGACCCGTTAAATGCTCTATTAAATTTAAAAAATTAATTAAAAGAAAAGATTCAAATGTTAATTTATAAAGAACTTACCAGTATTCAAAATAAGTAAATCAGTTAATTGAATTAATTAATTTTAAGGTTGTTGTCAGACTGTGGCACTGTTACTGTTGAGATCACAAGCTGAAATATTTGGGAATCTCCAGTCTAGTGCACTAGAAGTAACATGATAACCCTGGTTAGGAAACAGTTGCTCTAAAATGTCCCAATATAGAGCTGCCATGACTTTGAACAAGATAAAGTGAAGCAAAAGAAGCAGATGATGGCTCCCAAATCACCCCCAACTGCAAACTTTAGATTGGTTTTCAAGCTGCAGCTGCATGCTGTAGCCACAGAAGCACTGAAGCAGCACTCCACATGTAAAATTTCCCTAATCTTAAAACTATTGGTTCACAATCTCCTCATGCATAGGTACTTTTGTTACTTGTGCAAAATGTTTTAACCCTCTACGGAAAGTGAAGCTAATTACGCTCAGCTCCAGTCTAAATTAAGCCAGCATGGTTTTATGTATGATGGTGAGACCACATAGAATTTTGCTGATAAACTCAGTAAAATTTTAAAAGCTGAGTTAGGTTGTACAGTAAAAAAAATAAATACAGACTTATTTATGTACTTATAGAGGCATTACTGAGTTCTTTCTAATAAAACAGAGCTGCATAACTTTTCTGCCCGTTCTCAAAGCTTGCGCTCACACTTGACAAATGTTATTCTTTCCTTTTTCAACGTACCTAGAGTTGCCTTTGGTGTCTGATTTGAGCAAGATAACGGTCGCTTCTGAGTATTCACAAATTCATCTTGAAAAAACTCTTCCATTGTTTGCTTGGTTGGACCCATTTAACTTTGAAACAGCTGACGCCAAATTCACAGAACAGAGCGGGACTTTCTGACCCAAAGTAAATTCAGGAAAATAGGCTACAGGCTCCTAGATGCCTCAGTGCTGAACTACTTAGGGGTCAGTCTGCTCATCAAACATCGTAAAGGCACAAATAAAAAGCTTATTTGAACCCCTTAAGGCCTATGCAATTTTTTACATACATTTTTTATTTCTCTTTGTTATTTGGGCTCGTTTGAACCCAGTTAGAATAAAAACAAAATATATTTCAATGTAATGTACTTTTAGAGAGAAAGGATGTCCACGTATTTGGATTCATGTTCCCAAGCTCCATAAAACACAGTGTCAACTTTGGATAAAAGAGTGAAAAAACCCTCTTTATTTCCACCTTCAACACAGCAGTTTTTTTTTTCTGCCTGCTTTTTAATGTGTTGATAACATGTACACATTTTTTTTTAACATGTTCTAATTATCAAAGAGTAAAAACAACAAAAGAAACATTTAATTTTTGGTTTAACAGTTCAAATAAATCTTTTGAAAGATCATATTGTTTGCCTGTAACAAAATATAAAATAAAAATTCAAAGCATTTTTAACTGTCACTGTTGTCTCAATCTATAACTGTGAAAATCATAAAAAAATAATGAAACATAATGAAAAGAAAAAATTACTTTTTGACTTCCACAGTAGCACTGCTGCCTTGCAGCAAGAAGGTTCTGGGTTCGATTCCCGGCCCGGGGTCTTTCTGCATGGAGTTAGCATGTTCTCCCTGAGCATGCGTGGGTTCTCTCCAGGTACTCTGGCTTCCTCCTACAGTCCAAAAACATGACCTTTAGGTTAATTGGCTTCTCTAGATTCTCCTTAGGTGTGAGTGTGTGCGTGTATGGTTGTATGTTCTGTTTGTCTCTGTATTGCCCTGCGATGGACTGGCGACCTGTCCAGGGTGTACCCCGCCTCTCGCCCATTGACTGCTGGAGACCAGCACCCCTCGCAACCCCAATTGGGACAAGCGTGTCAGATAATGGATGGATGAATGGACTTCCACAGTTACAGTATGGCTCATGAAACTATGCATTTGTAGTGTAAGAAGAAGGATATGTGAAAGACATTAATCATTATAGGTACGAATGCACACATTAGAAATCACTGCCATTACCTATGCGTGAAAGGCTACTCAGTTTTCACAGACAACACATCACTTTTCAGGTCACATAACACACTCTGGTTCTTCCAAGGCCACAGGTTGCAGTGCAGTGCAGTGCATAGTGTTCTTCAGGCTGATTATCTCTGGAAGGTGGGCATTGGCTCCTCTGCGGACTGAGACATGAGACAACTACTTCACATGACATCTGACCCCTTAATTAATTTCTTCATCTGAAGGTTCTGACAGGTCTGCATGTGCACAGTGATGCTGGGTCAGGAGGATCTTGGCCCCTTTCATATGGCACTATAGTAACTGGATGGGTCTCGTCTTTGGTCCAGTAATTACTGCATGGTCATTTTGGTGTAGGAGCAAGCTGTTGGCTAAAGGCAGAATTATGAAGTGATTACCATCTGTAATGTCTACTTCTAGCTGCTCATGCAATAGTAACTTATTCTGTCTATCAAATCCACTCCATACATCTTCATACTTGTACTCGCGTACAATGCTTGGTAGTGAGACAGTGACGTATTTCGATTTCTTGTCCCAATGCTGGCAGGTGTCCTCTGGCAGTGCACCATGAACAACAGACATAATCAGAATTGGTTTGATGTTGCACCACTTTACTGCACATAACTTTCCATCTTTAGTGGAAACTTTTTTCTCTTCCTGCATTTTTCAGGGCTTTGTCCCTGGGCAGGTTATGGTTAGCTCCAGCTAGTCTGTTCTTCATTATTTTGCCAGTCATATATAACTCCTTTTCTATCATGTGTTATGCACGCTTGATGGTGGTGAACAACCAGTCACAAAACACTTTTGTACCACAATGCAGAGTTTGACACAGGAGCTCAACGACTAAGCTTCCCACACCCAGGCCCTCTGGTTCCTCTACCTTCTCAATTAGCACACTGGTAAGGGATTAAAAACAGGCATCCCCAAAGTCGGTCCTCGAGGGCCGCTGTCCTGCAGGTTTTAGAGGTTTCCTTCCTCCAGCACAGCTGATTTTAATTACAAGATGATTAACAGGCCTTTACTCAACTGCAATCATCAGAATCAGCTGGGCTAAAGCAAGGAAACCTCTAAAAACTGCAAGACGGCGGCCCTCGAGGACCGACTTTGGGGATGCCTGGATTAAAGCATCTATTTTGTCTTACTAACGTTGAAAATGGCCTTTCCTGAACATGTAGCTTTTCCCTTTTGTTTCTGGAAAATTGCTCCAGTGGATTTATTTTAAGACTTGTGCACAATTGTGAGTGAAGTGAGGATTTTGATAATATTCTTATTCTTGTCAACGGACTTTAAACCATAAATAACAGACGTTTTTTTTTTTTTTATTAAACAAGTTTATCAAAACACAAACTTTTATTTATCTCAGTTTGGTGTTTATATACACTTAATAGTTAGAAGAAAAAAGGGAGTTTTCAATATTTGACCCACTGAGCACGGCTCAGAGGCAGTAAAAACAAAACAGTTTGTTCTGATTTCTAGCTGAGTGATCACCGTGTCTATTTGATAAAATTCCTGTAACAATGATAATTATTATTTTATTTTTGCCCCTTTCTTGTTTTTTTAGATTATTTTCCAGTCCCCACACTAGTTTTCAACTTGCATTTCTGTTAAATGTAAGTTTTTAACCCAACAGCTGGACTGAGCGCTCTGCCAGAACTAAAGAGGAAGGGAGGATCTATAAGGGTTCACAGAGGATGATGGAAAAAGAAACCAAAGCTTGTGAGACTGAGTTTATTTTTCAGCATTTGAAGGAAAGTTTGAGATGCCGCACGTTATCTGTAAGTGACTCATCAGGGAAAACTACATTCAAGAGACAAATACATCCACTAATGATAGAATTCCTTAAAAACAATATAAACACGTGAGTGTGCACTGTGTCTACAACAGGACGTTCGTGTTATACATCATTAAAGTTTCACCTGCTATAAACTGCTGTATGTTTTCTGAGGTTTCTCTACATTTCCTGAATTATGACTAACGTAAATTGACATAACTTGTATTTTATAAATTGTATTATTGTCTTAGTAGCTGCTTAGCTGTTGGGAATGTTGGATGTAGTCAAGGGGTGATTTGGATGCCAGTGTTGGAAGTGTTTCTCCCTGAATCATAATGCTGAAAACATGCAAACTGTCAGTGGATAATATTCTGTCTAATGGTTTCAGTGGGAACAACTGCCAGCAGAAAGACAGGGAGAGTGGAGGAAATAACAAGAGGGTTGCTGGGAGGGAGCCAGGCACTAATGGATGGCTGAGCCTCCACCCATCCTAACACTGTAGCAGGGGTTTTCAAGCATTTAGAGGGAAAATTTAGTTTTATATTTTTTGTAGAAAGAACAATAGGGTGATTAAATCCTCTGATCAAAGTGTGAAAAGCAAATCTCAAGAAAACTTCTTTTAAAGGAAAAGTGGTGTATTCAAAGGCTAAGTGTTTAAAATGGAGACTCTGTGACCCCAGCAAGGTTTTTTTTGTTTTGTTTTTTATCAAAGGAACTTTATCCTTTCTTTCGTGTAAACTCATAAGTCAACCTGGTCTGGCTTTAGTCAACATCTGAGTCACAGTTTCCATTTCAGAAGCACAGTGAGTGAAGCAGCATAGACAGATCATATTCTACCTTCAGCAGGTAAAGACAACTGAACCCACCAGGTAATGTAACTTTCCTGAAATGTAACAGAGGATTTTTCTATTTTTGGTAGTGACTTAAAAGAAACACACTATGTAATATTATAATTATGACCCACGGAAATACAAAGTTGTAGATAACTAAGTTAAAGTTCTGAGCCAATTTAAACAAAAGGGGATACATTTAATATGACTTTGGATACAAATTATACATTTAGAAATACAAATATATATATATATATATTTATATATATATGTATATATACACACACAGAGAGAGAGATTAAATTGATACCCCTGTTTGATCAAAGAACAACCCACAATGTTCACAGACATAACTTGGATGTGATAAATATAATAAATGAAAAAAAAATCTGTGAAAATGAGCAAATGAAAGTCATACATTGTTTTTTAACCCCGCTTCGGTGGAATGATAAAAAAAAAAAAAAAAAAAAACTCATGAAATAGGCTTAAAAAAAAAAAAAGACTGAAAAAAATAATTTGAGGAAAGGGAGATGTTATATTAAACTGTGTCCACTAGTTAGCATCACTGGTGTCTGCAATGTAGTAATCAGTCGTTGGGTCTATAAATAGGGCTACAAGTAACACTGCTGTTTGGTGACATGGTATGTACCACACCCAACATGGACCAAAGGAAGTAAAGAAAAAAATTGTTTCAGGTGATTAGAATGAAAACTATAGACACGCATCTTAAAGGTAAAAGCAATAAGACCACCTCAAAGCAGCTTGATGTTCCTTTGACAACCTTTGCACTTATTAAGAAATCTAAGATCGCTGAGACTGTATCCATCCTCCCTGGACGGGGTTAAAACAGGACATTTATGATAAATCTGAGACAGATAATATGAATGGTAACAAAATAGCCCATAAAAACTTCTAAAGAGAATAAAGCTGGACTTTAATCTCAAAGAATATCTGTGTCAGATCGCACCAACCATCCTTTCTGAAGCAGAGTTATTGGAAATGACCAAGGAGCACACCATTGTTTAAAACAAATCATTAAAAAAACATAGTGGAATTAGCCAAGCTACATGATGACAAGCCAAAAAGATTCTGGGAGAATAACCTATGGACAGAAGAGACAGAAATGGAAATTTGTACCAAAGCACATTAGCTCCATTTTCACACACAGAAAACTGAAGCATATCAAGAAACGAACACAGGGGACGGATCCAAGGATGTTAACAGGCAGAGTACAAACAGCAGTCCGAAGACAGGAAACAGGTAGAAACAGACTGAAACAGGGGCAGACTAAAAACTCAGGAATCCAGGGGCGGAAACAGGTCAGGATCTGGTAGTGAAACAACAATACTGGGTACACTAGATAATTTTCACGCTAGGATGGAATAATCTGGCACTGATGGCTGGAAAACAGGCAGCCTAAATAGGAGCTTGAAACAGGTGGATCAGATGAGCGGTAATGAGCAACTGGACGGAGTTAGGCAGGTAAAAGGAATGAGTAATTAAGCAAGCCGTCAGTGCCAAGATCATGACTGTGTAACATGAAGGAGGCTCTGTTATGTTCTGGAGCTGTTGTCTAACCTAAAACAGGGCGTATGGAATCTCTGCAGAGAAAAATGAAATTTCAAGACCATCAAAGGATTCTGGAGAGAAATGTGCTTCCCAGTGTTTGAAAGTTTGATCTCTGATGGTGCTTTACAGTTTTGTGCGTAAGGTATATCATATGTGCATCGACAACTGATTAATATCTTGTATGCACTGCAACAAAGCAGATAAATGCTGTTTTTACTTTAAACTCTTTAACCTTAAGATAACTTGTTTTATCTTCTTTGTTGTAATCTACCTCTGTTCCTATGAAACTGGGGGGTTTCTGGACTTTCTGCACAAAGTTTATTTATGACTTTTATAGATGTAGCATGTGAACAATGTTGATTCCTTGATTTCAAATACAGAAGCGTGTCTGTTTTTACTCATTAATCAGACAAAAGGAATATTTAATTCCACGTTCTTGGCATGTAAGATGAAATGTTTTCATATAAACAGATTGTTGTAAGATGTAGGGATATATTTTCACCATCCATTTTTTACTTGATTTCTTTTTACAGCTAGTTCAGTTTGAACCCAGTGACAAGCACACATAGTGTTTTTGAACAAGCTTATCACTTGCATTATAACTGTGCAGAAAACAAAGAGTTTTTACCCTTTTATGGCTTTTGGCAAGAAAGCACATATGATTCAGAAACTATTGTTCTGGGTCTTCTGTTACTAATTATGGATTAGCACCTTTGCCAGGACAAAGGGTGGACCTGTTGGCTCATCAAACACTGCTGTAAATCCAAAGAAAAAGAACCACACCCATCCTACTGCACAAATCTACAAATTGGCCCACTGTCATACACTTTCACCAATTCTGAAGAACGGACTGAATAAAAATCAAGATTTTAAAGCCTTTTTATTATGCTGTATCTAATCAGCACCATCATCCAAGACAGAATAAGTTGATTCATTTTAAAACAGAAACAAGAGATATAAGTAAATAAGATATAAGTCAATAATTCTTTTGTAATTATTCTCAAAAAGCTACTGCAGTTGCTCCATTTTGCAAAAGCCAGAGGGCTAATAGAAGAGACATATCTATTTGTTTTGAAATGTTCTGAAAGGACCTGTTTGTTTGCCTTTGCCCACTGTTGTCAAGGTAACCAACATTCCCCGGAATGCTTTCCATGTTAATTGTTTTATTCCTCCCACCGTCCTCCTCTTGCTGCTGGTCACAGACACAATCAAGCGTGTGTTGACAGACTCACTTGGTGTTCATCTGCCTTTTCTCTTTCAGTCTTTGTGTTTTCCCGTTTCTGTGCCTCTTGTGTTTGATTAATCTCTCCCATCCATGAAGTCCTCTCTCACCCATTCCTTTGGGTCGCAGAACAGCTGTTTGGTGAAATGAGATAACCGCGGAGGTCTTTGGAGAAATTATTCGCCATGAAATCTTACGATGAACTTCAGCCAAGTCCACTTTTCACTGTAATACAAAAGGAGGATAATAAAAAAGCTGGAAGGCATACTTGAGATCTAACTTTTATTTCCTCAGAATAAGTGTAACCACTCATGCTCATGTTTCATGCTCGTGGAGTGTTTACTTCCTGCCTTCTGCAATAAGCAACATGCTGTCATATTGCCAATCCTTGTGTTGCTATGAAAGCAATATTGAGTTCTCATAGTAATAGTGATGACTGCAGGGAGACAGCTTTAGAGACTCCTTAATTTTAAATTGGTTGCAGCCAGACCCACACTTGATGCTAAACACCCCACACAAAGAATGGAGAAAGTGCAAAGGTTCTATACAACTGAATGTTAACAATTAACCCCCAAACCCCCCCCCCTCCGAGAAATGAGATAAGGTAGACTGGATTTCTTCTGAATAATTAACCATAATGTCAGGGAACAAAAAGTATGAGATTTATAACACCATGGTGTTATACAGCTGATATCTTCCATATCACTGATGTCCTCACATGTTTTCTGTTGGATTTGGTGCTGGATCTTGGCTAGGCCATTTCTAAGTTTTATTTTCTAAATGTAGAGATGTTGAAAGGTTACATCTCATCTACACCCAATGTGTCTCACAGACTCTATGGATTTGAGTCAAAACGGAGACGATTATAATTTTTATCCACAATGTCAAAAGACATTTTAGCTGAAGTGGGTGTTTTCTTTTGTCTTTCAACTCCACTCACCAGTCCAGGATTAGTAATAAGACTTTTCTTACATCTACAGAATAACCAACTCTAACCAGAAGTTAATTTATCTCTCTCAGTCCTGTCAGGTTTTGGCAGCCTCCCTGAACATTTATACTTCAGTTTTCTATTGGTTAGAGAAAAAAAAAGGGTTCAGTTTTAGTAATATCCCAGGTTACACATGTTCCTGAATTAATTATCTCTGTCTTCATAGTAATATATGTAAATCAGAGGTGTCAAGTAACGAGGGACACGTACTTCATTACTGTACTTAAGTACACTTATTAGGTATCTATACATTACTCCATTACTTATTTTTCTTCCTACTTCTGACTTCTATTCATTACATTTTCACACAATTATCTGTACTTTCTATTTCCTACAGTTTGCTTCTTTAAGACATTTGCTCTGATGCTGTAACCCATGCAGCATCTTGCTGCAAACACCAAATTATCTAGGAAATCAGGTTATATTGCTTTAATTTATTCCTCAAAGCATTACACTACAGGTGATGGGTCTTTAACGTAGGCTTTCCTCACTCTAAGGTGGGTGACAAAACATAAGGTAAATGTCAAAATAATGGGGAGAAGTGTTTTAAAAGAATGTTGGCAATATGAGAGGGTTAGGGTTTTATATCCATTCTATGTATGGTCTTTAAATGGACCATCATTAAGAACTTGGCTTAATTCAAGAGTTTCAAGAGCAGATATTCAAATGATTTTGCTTCTGATCCATTAAATAATACCAGAGTAGACCCGTCAACCAAACTACTGGTTGGAAGAAAAAGAAAAAAAAAACCCAAAACAAATTGTTAACCAGTAATATACAGCAATAAATATCATCAGCAATCAGTGTATTTAGTTTTATGTATTTCCAAGTGATATTTTTTTAAACACTACAAAATGTAAATGTGCTTCCTCATTATTTTTATTTCTTAGTTTATTTCCTAAAGAGAAACTCAAGCCGCAATTGTTGGATAAAAAAGTATTCAGTCCACCTCAGAATTTGCACTTTCAACTTTGACAGATGAGAGAGGTCTGCAGTTTTCATCTTAGGTACGCTTTACCTATGAGAGTCAAAACAGAAGAAAAAAGGATTTCTAAAGAAAAATTAAGTGAAAAAATATGTATTTGATCAATAAAAAAAAGTTCAATTCATAACTTTGAACCAAGACCTTTGTCTGCAATGATGAATAATAATCATGTAAGTTCACCATGTTTACACACAGCATAGCTGGTATTTTGGCCTATTCCTCCATGCAGATCACCTCTAGAGAATTAATATGTTGGTGTTTTTGCTGGAAGTTTAGACTTTCAAGTCCCTGCAAAATGTGTCTATGGGTTCTACTTGCTAGGCCATTCCAGGACCTTGAAATGTTTTTTTTTGAGCCACTACTTTGTTGCCTAACTGCTGTGTTTAGGATCATTGTCATGGTGGAAGACCCAGCCAGTTTTTTAAAATATCTTTAAAGCTCCAACTGATGGTGGGAAATTTTGGATAAAAGTCTCACCACATATGGCCCATTTATTGTGCACTTCACAGTGATCAGTCATTATGTCCCCTTTGCAGAAAAACATTGCTGAAGCATGATGTTTCCACCCCCATGCTTCACATTAGGTATGGTGTTCTTCGGATATACCTCACTATTCTTCTCCTTCCAAACACGAGTTGAGTTTTTGTCAGAAAGTTCCATTTTCATTTGACCACATGATATTCTATCGGTCGTCTTCTGGATCATCTTATCATATGCTCCCTGGAAAACTTCAGGCAGACCTGGACATGAACTAGTTTAAGGCAGGGGAGGTGGCTAACACCTTCCTCTTAGTGTAGGGCATTACTGATGGTAGCATTTGTTTTCCAGAGATCTCTGGAGGTCATTCATCAGGTCCCTCTGTGTAGCTCTTGGATGTTAGTTCACTGTTCTCATGATCATTTTTACTTCACAGGATGAGATTTTCGATGGGGCCCCAGATCGAGGGAAATTGTCAGTGCTCTTGCACGTCTTCTATTTTCTTACTGTTTATTTCTTCACACCAACCTGTTTGCCTATTCTAGATGTACTCTTCCCAGCCTGGTGCAGGACTACAATTTTCTTCCTTTTGTCTTCAACAGTTATTTGGTCTTGGCCATGGTTGAGTTTGAAGTCTGACTGTTTGATGCTGCAAACAGGCTTCTTTTATGACATTAATATACATAATGAGTGGTGAACAGAAGAACTTATGATAGAAGTTGTTACATGTCTGTGAGGGCCAGGCATCTTGTTAGTTTGTGGATGACCAAATATTTTCTACCATAATTTAGAAAAAAAAACTCTTTAGAATGTGGCATCAGTTATTAGTGTATTTTATTGTACAGCTATATTCAAATAAAAATAAAAAATCTAAATCTTATAGGTCTTGTGTTTATAAATCTTGTAACACATGTACAGCTGTATCTGGGTTTGTAAATGTAGTAGTGAAAAATGTATTAAAGTTTGATGTGATAAGAATAGAATAGAAAATCCCTTTTTTGTCTTACAATTAAAGGTTTAATTGGGGGATTTAAGGTTAGTTGTCCGCCTTAAAAGAAAACTGTTTGTCTAAATGATTTTATTCTTTAAATTAGCCATTGTTCAACATTCCTCCATCTGTCGACTTGGTTCAGTTCAGTTACAGCACTTCTCTTCCTCTGTGTCTAATAGATGCACTCTGATTTGCACCATGACCCGGTATTAGCTTGGCCTGATATCTAAAACTCAAGCTTGGAAAAATGACTCATGGTCTTGTGACAGAAACAGCAAAGCATTCATAGGGTGCTGTGGGATTTGTGGTTTTCTTTTCTCTTTTTATTTTATGTAAGCTGTTCCCACAATCCTGATTTTGTTTTATCAGCAGGTAAGAACAATTTAAACTTGGCTCTCCAATGGAGTCATACTGCAAAAGTTTGAAGCTTCTTATTAAATCTAAACATAATGAAGTTTAACACTGAGTTATTTGTACTGAAAAGTTATGTTATAATTAAACATAAGCCACAGAAATACGGATCATGGGAGGAAGATTTATGCGAGTTTTCTGACAGAACAGATGGTGCAGAAAATCCCTTCAACTTTAATCAGTTATTGAAGCAAAGCTTAAATCTGGTTATATTAACCACTAAATCGTGTTTTTTTATTCTCCAATCTGAAGCTCATACAGCTATTAATGCAGGATCTCCTTTACATTAGGGTGATAACATAAGACATTTTTTTTGTATTTCCACCAGGGTCCAATCTTTTGCAACTCAGTAAAACAGAAATTTAAAATCTAATTTATAAATAAATTAGGTAAGAGGGCTGATTTTCTACCTTAGATCATGGAGTTTTCACTGAAAGTTTGACTTAAACCATAATGTAGAATTGAGTATTTGACATTCAAAACATGCATGATAGAGAGTTGGCTGAACTTTTTTTTTTTTAAACAACCTTGATTAGTTCCAGAGCTTCTATACTAAAATGTAATAGTTGATGCAAATTCTACGGAAAATACTCAATACCTTTTCTTTTATATAGGGCACTTGTTAAGAACAAAGCAAGAACATTGAAACTTAGTTTAAAATTTATTTTCTTGAATTTGTAAGCAACAATGCAGGTCTGAAACCCCGATTCTGACGGCAGGACTGGCATCCCTAAGAAAAGGTAAGAGATAAATATCGTGTTCACAGGCGAATGTAATGACTTTAGAACCGTGGACCCAATATTCAAGCAGACAGATCAGGATGGTTTGGAAATAAGCTTTATTTATAACTTAAAG